ACTGTACCTGATCGCCTCATTAGCGGGAAGAGAGTGTGTGTGTGAGAGAGAAGGGAGGGCTGATTCAAGATATCATGTAACTCAAAATGGCACAGAATGCCATATTTCTGCAACAAATATATATTGTAACTTGATCGGGGCATCTGCTAAACAAATGATCTTCTTTAAAAAACCTGGCTTCACACACAGCCAAGATTTCAATCCCCATTCTAAGGGTTTCTGAAAAGGAAATCTGAAGTGTTTGATGATGTAACTCCACCCAGTCTCCTCCCCTTTTCTATTTATAACCAGTCATAACTGCTGACACAATGTTTCCTGAATTAATACATTAATCAAAAGATGCTTTCGTGGGGTCTCACTAAGCAATCCATCAACGCACTAGTAAAAAGAAGAAAGATCTCTAGGTTTGATTCCAGCCTCTTCCAGACACTTAGAAGAGTAACAAAGTCCACACAGAAATTATAACATTCACTAAAACGGATGCTTCACTGAGACGTGCTATACACCACTGGTTTATCATTCTGTATGAAACAAAATAGCATCTAATAACAAAACTAAAGTCTGTGCTTCTCAAACTGCTGGAAGCACGCCCTTTGGAATCAGGAAGTGTGAGTGACTGATTAACAAAACATAACTGCGAAACCTGAGATTGCTTCAGTAAGTGTAAGCTGCTGAAAAACAGATTCAAGAACTCTTTGATTATATTAAAATGTCTCCTGATGATGTCTTAATTGACATTAATGGCAATTAGACTGGTTCAGACTGGCCACTTTTTTTAGCAGAAAGCCACAAACTCAGGAAGTGATAGCTGACAGAACAGTTAAAAATGTCGGAAGACAAAGCATAACTTACAAGAGGCTAGAAAACACAACACTGCACTCAGTACAACAGAAGACGTATTACAAAAGATTAATTTTTTTTAATTTTGCATTAAGCCTCCGATAGCAAAAAAAGCTTCGCTTAGCAAATAAGATAAAACTGCAGCACAGTCACATGCACTTTTCTGAAAGCCTGTCTTTTTAAACCTTACAGAATGCCACAGCCTCTGAACAGTGCATTTTTAACACACAGAAAAGAGGTGGAATGCTGTCCAGGCGTACCGGATCTTAAGGTTTAATTTTCAACTCACGAGTAGGTCAAATTCCAGACTACTGTTTGAGGTAAACAATGTCTTTTTGGAAGTCAATGCAAAACTGACATTTCTATACTGGTTTTCACAGTCCCCAGCCTAAACATCTCAGTCGACTACAAGGCTGTATAACTTGCACAGAAGAAATACAAACATAACTTGTGATTTCTACGATATAGCTTCTTGCACGTTGAGAAATTTGCGTGCGCACACACATGCACACAGCTCACCTCTGCTGAACACAGAGCTTAGCCGAGTCAGCCTTTTTTTCCCATTCTGCACGGCCACACCTCAGAACTCCATCTACAGGACACCAATGAACCAATTCGGCTTAGCAGTTTAAGAAATGGTCATAGCAACAGCTGTCGCCACCACACTACATGAGAGATTGAGACGAATCACCATTCATCAGCGGATCACTTACCCCATCACCCCCTTCAAAACAATCTACACTTGAAGAAACTTCCACTTCATTTATGAATTATTTAGAAAAATAAAGTATGTGATATGGATATTGATTAAATGTTTCTGGTGTCATTTTGATTCATTGACCACTCTCAACAGACCTGGACCCACTCAAGTGAATTTGACTAAACAGAAACACTAAACCAGCTCACTAATGAATATATTGATTGGACACAGGTGATGAGATGATTTGGCGGAATGTCAAGCCTAGCAAACCCCCCCTAGCAAAATCACAGAAAACAACCAATCTGCCTAACTTACCAAAAGAACGAAGCCTTTGTGCCTATAGTCTGTTGGACAAACACTGTTGTCTGGTTTTTGCTCCATTGATTTCAGTTTTCTACTCGGGGGTCAATTTGTAAAAATGCTTTCAGCTCTTTCAGAGGTCAAATTGGACTTGTGTCAACTCTGTACCGATTCCTGCTTCTCAGAACTGCCCTTATTCAGGTGTGCCGTCTGAAACAATCCACTGGTCCTCTTCCTCTTCAGAAGGAATAACAGCTCATTGCTGATGCATCTGGTACATCATCATCCCCACCTGTCTGTTCATCATCAATTGGATCAACCAACAAGAGCTGTGTTATCAGAAATAACGGCCAACAAGCCGAAGAGATGATGTGGAAAGCTCCGTTTGCTGAATTAGCTGGGAACAGTGGCTTTGAAGGAGAGTAGTTTTGACACACAGGCCTGACCCAAGGAACAAGTCAAGCCAGCAGGTCAATCACGTCATCAGTTAGCACTGGAGACATACAAGGCATCTGGAATGACCACCAGCAGGGGCCACCGAACGCGAGAAACACCTCGGACCGCAAGCAGCGCCACTGCTTCAACAGCGAGTCGAGGTTTCGGATCGATCTCCGCGACGCACACTCGAGTGACACAGACCTGCAGAATGACACGCGACCTGTTGTGTTCGACAGGACAACCGAACGGGAGGTCTGAGGGTGATGGCTGGGGTAGGAACATCTAGCGAGGGAGTTCTCTTTCCACCTGAGCTCTCGACCGCCTAATTCAACACATTGCCTGACTGGAGAAGATGAAACCTTTCCTGCTGGGCTTGGGCTCTGCCGGACCTGGGGTGGAGACCCCTGCACCACACGAAGTAGCTTCCTTTCTGCTTGTACTGACCCCTTCTACATCAATGTCACCATTGCAATTCCTCCACGTGCAGGTTCTGCACAGCCAGGAGAGGGACTGCCGCACCGGCTGCTGTCTCCAATTCTTCACCGCTGGGCTTCATCCCTGAGTGCAATGCTGCATTTTTCCCAATCAGCAAGTTTGGAGTTTCTCCCTGGCAGCCCCCCCCCTCTGGAATCAGCACATCAAACAACCTGGTTACACAACCACAAAGCAGCAATAAAACTACAGCCACAGGCAGGGAACGACACAAAAAGGCAAGTATAAACACAAACTAGAGCCCTGTTGGAATAGATGAATTGTATATGGACTCCTGTAGCCTGCCTTCGAGATTAACAAAACTTTCATAGTCCATGTAACTTTCTAAAACTTACAAATTAGCAGGTATACTACTACAGAGGTCTAAAACGCTAGATTTTATATAGACACCCAAGACTGGGGCTGATGATCGTGAACTTGGCATTCATTAGCAGCAGAACGCCGAGAGGAAATGCCACATGCAGGTTTTCAAGCAAAGCGCACTTTAATTAGGCCCATCCCCTACTGGGAGAGCGCCTTAAAGTGTCTTCACCTCCGTTTTCAGCCAAACCTCAGAACCCTTCCGAGAATTTCACAGCTCCCTCACGCTTCCTTCCCGCGACACCTGTGCGTACTTGGGGTCCTCTCCCTTCGGGTAACTCCCTGCTCGGCGATGGAAGGAATGATGATGACAAGAGGTCTGAGATGAGCATTTTTGCTCGCAGGGTAAGCTGAATCATCAGCAGGGAGTTCTTTTGCAACAAAGAGATAGCAATGGACTAGTTAGATGCCCTGTCCTTGTAACCACGCAACCAGCCACCTGATCATTTCCTGCAGCTGCTCTGGGCTGAAGCCCAGTCAGAGAGTTGCAGGGTACAAGGTGGGACTAACCCCCCAGGCCCAAGGCGAAATACCAGTTCATCACAGGGCGCTAAGAGGTGAGGTGAGTGCGTGCCAATTTCGGGTACCCCACACCAACCCTGAGGAGAACATGCAAACTCCACACAGACAGAGCCACATCCGAGCCCAGGGTTCGGTGCTATGAAGATGACAGGGCTCCGCATGGCACCACCTGGCCTCGTAACACTGCAGCCCTCACGCGTGACGGAAAACAAAAAAATTACTGAGTCACTTCTTGCCCGTGAAATCGGTGTGCAGATTCTTACCTTGGGTGAACTGCCGTTCCCTTCAGCAGATCTGAAGAGTTCACATTTAGAAGAACCAAAACCTTTAGAAACCAGATGGAGAGATATTTCTGCAACCTTCGTGTATATAAAGGTGGTTCTGAAATCACCCCACACTGAAAGCAGCATTACGACCTTAGGCCAGCACACGGGGTCTCTCTCCTGGCTGAGCAGGAGCACAGAGATGCTGTTCTAGATTTTGGATTCCAGGTGGCAGTCAGACTCTGAAGTTCCAGCCTTGGTCTAGCCCAACACAATGATACTGCCGACAGAGCAACAGGAGCAGCGCCTCAATTTTATCTGAAAAAAGATCAGCCTTCAACTGTGTAAAACACTGTGCAGGACGAGTTTCCTACAAAAGGCCAGCATCACCACCATTTTATTCACAGGTGAATTTTGTCACACACTTTCTAAATACACCATGGAGGTCTAAATCAGCAACAAATGAGTATTGGAACCAACTATCTTAATGTCTCTGTGAGTAACAACCGGCCTCGTGTTTAAAAACTGAACTCCTCTGCTAGAAACAACTATTGCCGCTATTTCAGCAAACTGGTGCTTTTTGTGACTGAGTTTTCTCTCTCATGACCTTACACGTTACTACAGTACTATTAACCATTTAGCATAATGCTCAGAAAATAAAAGATGAAAAGAAATTAATGAAAACTTCTCTCTCACCCACTAAGTCACAGTCCTGAAAGTAATGGAAACTTTAAGTCATAGTACCTGATTTAGCCCAGCTACACTCGCCAGAATCGTTTTTGTGATTCTGGCAAGCCTCCACAAATACAATGATACCTTTCCTGTCCCAAAGAGCAGCTGGACCACAGTGCTAGCAGCATTAACCTCTCAAATACCCTGCAGTGTTCCGGCTTGGTCAAAACCAGAGAGAAACTATTTAAAAGGGCTAGTTGAATTAAATTGGTTACAATTGCCATTCTGTACAGTGCTCGGAAATCAGCATAGCACATAAAAGAAAAAATAAAACGCGATTTATAATTTAATTACAGAAGACCATTGTTTTTTTTTTCCATTGTTTATTTTTTAACGTATGACATGAGCCGATCTGCAGTTGAAGCTGATTTTTTTTTTAATAAAGTTTAAAATCCCACACCTTCACGACAAAGGTCATAAATGAAAATGTGAAGGAACAACAAAAAAAAAAAGGCATTGATACATCGACGTTATGAAGGAAAAAAAAAAGAGAGGTCGGTTAAAAACACCTACGTGTTCCTTTTAACTGGCGGATTAATTTGAAACTCCCACCCCCTTGTGACGAGCTACGCCTAACCCGGCACAACCCCAGACTACGGGCCGCGCTCCTCCGCCTGCGCCGGGCCTTCTCGGCGGATGAGTCACTCGCTCGGCCGCCACGCGCCGGAGCAGGGAGCGGGGAGCGGGGAGCGGGGAGCAGCACCGGGATGGCGGAGCGCGCGAGCCCGTCACGGGAACTTCGGCGAAGTCTTCGCGAGGCGCAGCAGTCCGTCACGGAGGGGGGCTTCCGGCCCAACCTAGTTACCCGTGGTAACAACTTCAAGCCTTACTTTTAAAACCCGTGTGCGGCGGGGGGGTCCTTCAAAACAGCATTGCAGGTCACCAATGCTTGGGACGCTCATTTACAGAGGAATACATATATATAGAAGTGTTTTGAGCACTTTGCTGTAGTATACTTGTACCTCGTTCAGCATCTATACCTACAGTAATACTTCACATAGTTGTAACAGAACGGTGCTGCTAAACACCTGGTGGCTCTCTCGGCAATCTTAAATCTGTAAGCTCTGGGCTTAATTCCTTCTCAAAGAAACAGTATAAAATTTAGAGACACGCCGTATTGTTTTTTTTTTCAAACAATTTTTATATATATTTACTATTAGAAACTTCAGGCCTGAACATCGCACACATGTTCGGTATGAATGTAAAAGAAGCAAAGTCTACATCAAGCAGGTTCAGAGAGGCAAAAATGAGAAGTAAAACAGAAAAAAAAAATCCCCGCCCCGCCAAAGGAAATAATACAATAAAACTAAGAAAATTCAAGAGCTTGAGGCAATTCATGTAGTCTGCTTTTTCTTTTAAAAAGTCTCTCACGGGAGTATTTCTTGAGTCACGGTAATCAATAAAGAACGTGATCCAAGGACAGCGCAAAAGCAAAATTAAAGCCAGCCAAATAATTACTTTAAGAAAAAAAAATGATTAGTTATACGGGGGTCATATAATAATCAAAAGAAAATGAATTATAATCAAACTTTTTTTATTATATTCTTCCGAGAAGCCATGTTATTTGTTAATTGCTTCTTCTCGTGTAAATTTTGTATTATTTTATTTTTTTTGCTTGTTCTAACCAGTCATCATTCGACCATTAAGATTTGTAATTAGAAGTTAGCCAAGTCAGCCCCTCGTACAGTCCGTCACCTGTAGTCGCGCAGGACGGCTGCACATACCAATTCCTATCTCGGATGCGGGTTAAGCCCAGTTTCTCCTGGATCTCATGCGGCTTCATGGCATCAGGCAGGTCTTGCTTATTGGCAAAAATCAAGATAATGGCGTCCCTCATCTCCCGGTCATTAATGATGCGGTGGAGCTCTTGCCTGGCCTCGTCTATGCGGTCTCTGTCCGCACAGTCCACCACGAAGATTAACCCCTGCGTGCCCGTGTAGTAGTGCCTCCACAGGGGGCGAATCTTGTCCTGTCCCCCGACGTCCCACACGTTGAATTTCACGTTCTTGTAGGTCACGGTTTCCACGTTAAAGCCTACGGTGGGGATGGTGGTGACGGACTGCCCCAGTTTCAGTTTGTAAAGTATGGTGGTCTTCCCCGCGGCGTCAAGTCCAAGCATCAATATTCTCATCTCCTTGTTGCCAAATATCTTGGATAGCATCTTCCCCATCGTGTAAACAGCGCATAAATATCCAGTTCCTCTGAGAAATTCAATAAGTCACCTGGACCCCCGTTGTGCACTTGAGACCTAATAAATAAGATGTTCTGATTTTGTATTTCTTTTTACCGAACAGTTCCCGACTTTCAGCCCAAGCAGCCAACTGGTCACGCACTGGTCAATATCCGGTGGGGAGCAAAGGACAGTACATCAGGACAGGCTGAAGTTAGAAACCATTCAATCGCTGGGCTGTAGACGCAGACGGTGTCTCTGCAAAGCGGCAATCCGTCCGTGCGAGATTACTGCTCCCCCAACACTAAAAGCCGGCTGTGCAACTTCTAGACAACATCCGAAAAGAATCCATAACAACAAAGCTGTCCCGTCGGTCGGTCCGTCCCCCCTCCTCCCGGGCTGTCAGATATCCCTTTCAGTCAGTAAAAGGTTTTGCCTTGAACCGAGCCGGGACGCCAAAAGGGAGGCCGAGGTCACAGTTAAAAGACACCGGGAGTGGCGAGGAATCCAGGTGCCGGAAAGAGGTTGACAAAGAGGGTGTGGGGAGGCCGGTTATTTCAAGTCCACATCAAGAGCACACCGGGATCCACTTACGGGTCCGTGTAATGCGGTTCTCCAGTCCCTCGGCTTGCCTTCTTCCTCTCTAAGGCGAGGGCCTACAACACAGACGGGTCCGGCTGGGGGGGGGTGGGTGTTGCTCTCCCGGCCCCTCTCTCAACTTCCAGAAGTGAGCTGGCTGAGGATCGGCGCGGCTGCCCGAGCAGGCCTTCGCAGAAGCCTGCGGGAGCTAGTTCACAGACTTCCTCCTGGCGTGCCCGTGTCGAGGTCTCCGCTCGCCCGTTTCTCTCTCTCTCCCCTCCTCCTCCTCCTCCTTCTCCTTCTCCTCCGCCGCCGCCGCCTCCCCTCCTTTCTGAACCGGGTGGGCAGCTCGCAATTTCACCGGCTCCGCGCTTCAGCCTGGTCCGCCCGGGTCCGCCACACTTCTGTCGGAGACGGAAGAGCCTGAGCCGAGGCGACTCCAAAGGTCATTGATTCATTCGAGAGCTTCCTCTTCTCTTCTCCCTGTAACACAAGAGCGGTTGAGAAAAGGGAGGGGTGTCAGGGGAGGGGAAAAAAAACACAACTTTAAGCGCAGCCGCCGCTAGCGTGGTTACGTTTTCCGCTCAATGCTGAACAAAAGCGGCGCCGGCATTTCTGAGACGCGGTTCTCTCAGCCGGTCCCGCCGGTGTCTGGCGTCTTTTTTGTTACCTGCTCTGCGGCCCCCCGATCCCCGGATTGATCCACCCCGCTCTCGCCTCTCTCTCTCTCAGCTCCGAGCGGCTCTCGGCTACCGGAAAAGGTGCGGACCCGATCACCCGCCACTTCCTCTCGCTCGCTTACTTTCAGGCACTTTTTTTTTCCCCATTTCCGCCCATTGGCATGCGCAGAGTAGTTACCACGCACCGCCTTTGACGGGGCTCAGAGGCTCAGGAAACTGACGCCATTGGGGCTCCAAACGCGTGCTCGGCGTCCCTCATTGCGGCGCACGGCAGCGGGAGCCAAGATGGCGGCCGCCCGCCAGCGCAGTTTCGGGATGTGTCACCCCCCAACCGGATCTTTCATGTGCAACGATTCTCTTGAATGAAAAAACGCAACGAAGGGGGTTATTGCCTTTGGCGGCAGTAGAGGAGAGGCGCTCGGTGGACGAGGGTGTGAGTCGACAGCCAGCGCTCAAATGTGAAAAAAGAAAGAGGTGGTGCGTTATGACGTAGGCGTCACTCAGTGGGTGCTGTGAGGGATTTCAAATAATGCCGCAGACAGGCCACGAGCTGCACGCATAACTGACAGGGGGCTCGGCTACTCTCGAGGGAGGGCGCTGCCCGTGCGTGCTGACAGGGACACCGCCCCCTCGCTATATTATCACCCCCCGTGTAAAAATAGTTCGTGCGAGAGCGTGGAAGGGAGGTGAAGTCTCTTCCGCCCGGTGTTTGAATCGCGCTTCGGAGGGGGGGGGGTTTGTATGTTATTTTAACTTGGCTCTGGAAACACTTTTAGCTACCGAAAGGGGGGCTTGTCTAAAATAACCCCTTCCTGTCTTCATCCTGATAAAAGTGAGAGCTATTAATTACACGTATGCCTGTGTCGCAATACTGCACCGCTAAAGCTATAATCCTTACCTTGATTATTTTAGGGCCAACTCCACCTAAGCAGCCTTTTTAAGAAAGCCCCAGCTCTGTTCTGTTACCAGCCCATTTTCCGCGCACTCGTTGCAATAGTAGTTCCTAAGACCTGCATTTACAAATGTCTACATTCACGACTTCGCTTTATTTTGCTTGGGTGGTGGGTGAATTAAAACTGCGGATAGATCTACCGAATTGAACGTATACCATGACACACAACTACAGAGTGTAGGGGGGAAAAATACTTCACCGTGTTTCAAGCGTCCTTTTCAAAATGTAATGTTTTCATGTTTGAGTCTACAAACGCCAAACCCTGGAACAACTGTGCTCAGCAATAAATGGTTCTTAAAGTTTCCATAAAAAGGAGTGAAGACAAGCAGTATTACGTTTTAGAATACCGTAATACAGTGTATATACAGTATGTATAACTTAACAGGAAGTCTGAAATGGCCCTAAGGTAACTTTCATAGTAATATTTAGCGAATTAAGGGCTTCTATACGTTCCATAGTTTCTTGAACATATAAATATAAAGCACCAACTGTTTACGTTTCATAAAAAAACAAGCGTTTCAAATGTGTCTTAAGTTTATGTAGAGGACAGACACCGGCTACGTTTTTTATTAAAAAATGGCTTTAATTTATGAGGAAATGAGGAGACCGAAGAGCTTCGCAGTACTGAGGCGTTTCCACAGACCATCAATGAGTTGAAACGCCTTTACCACACAGCGCTTATTTCCTATTAACCGGCCGCCACACCCTCGTCTTCACATTCAGACACCTTTTGTTTCGCTGGGCGCAATCTGAACCTCTTCCGTTTCACGCTAAACGACAGCACTCGTGTAAAATATCGCGACATAACATGAACGATTGTGGAGATCAATGCAAGCAGTGCTGGGTATGACGAGGGCGAGTCTTTACAGCTTTCCAGCGTTAGACAGTGAAAATGTGGCTGACGTGCGCTATTGTGCGCTTCAGGTCTTTCATGAGCTGCGGAGGCTCGTCCCTGTGCGCGGTCATTCTTTTACGCGTGTGCGATGTTGCAGGAAACCTGTCACATCCTGACACGGATGTCTAGGTGCGAAATAAGCTGCTGACTCCAAACACAAAGCAGGAATGGGACAGAAATGTCATCAGAGCACAATACCACGCAAAGGCAAGTTTCTAACTGCAGAATCATGGATCTGATGGACTGAATTATGGTTTGAGCTTGAGAATGGATTGCAAACCACAATCGGTCCATTTTGCTCATTTGGTAGTTGATCGTTACTTGATCCCAGGATCTCGTCCAGCTGTTTTCGTGAAAGGAGTCAAGGTATTGGCTTCACCAGTGTGGCTTGGTAAAGAAACACCTCCTGTTTTGGGGTTTTAAAGACACTGTTACCTAGTTTCCACCTGCGTCCTCTGGCTGGTATTTCTCTGTTTACTCCAGGCGGTGAATAAAATAAAGGGCTGTGATGATACCCCACGAACAGCTGATTTTGGTTAGCTGAAGGAGTGTCAGGTATTAAATTGCACCGTTTTCTGCTCATACGCAGGAGAAAGTGAAACTACACCACAAAGATATTCCAACATTTCCAGCACCTTTGGAGCTTTGAGCAAATTTCACCTCGACTATACAATGTACAGAATGTACACTTATTTTCGTGTAATCTTCTCTATTCACACCGTTCTCCACCCCTCTCCACTTTGCACCTCCTGAGTGGCCTCTCTGCCTCTCCCGTCTCCCTCCTCCTCCACTTTTCCAGCCTGTGTTCTCCTGTGCTTTTTAATCTTTGCCGTCTACCCTGTCTTTCTCACACCCGAAGAAGGCTCCACAGCCGAAACGTTGTGTTTCTTTTCTTCTCTTTCCAGCAGAGAATGAACCCGTTACCTGTTCCTTTGCAGCCTACGCATGCTGACGCAGCCCCCTACTCGTACTACTTCAATGTACAGAATATCCAGAACATTTCTCACCAGGCTCTTCTCTCTTGTTTTGTGTTTCCATTGGTCTTCAGCAATGGATTGTCCCTTGAACGTACCAAAGGTGGACAGAGCGCTGTTTGCCAGGAAGTGCCCCGTCCTCTGATCCTGAGGAACATTGGCGCTAGCTGTCAATCCTGATGCCTTTCCAGCTTGCTGCTTAATTTCCAGAATCCAATCACTTCCACTCACAGTTTCCAATCCGTGCTGCAGGCCAGCATGACTCAGGCAGTCACTCTGACGTTTAGCTAGACTAGTCTTTCTTTCCACTTTCTTAGACTTTCTTTCCACTGAGATAATTATTTTTAAAAACAAACACAAGGCCTGCCATGCATCTCACACTCGGGCAACAGAAAACACTGAAAGTAAAGGAGAATTGAAACATATTTCTGTTTAATGTCACCAAATTTGAAAGACAAATACAGTGCCATGGAAATTTCTTATTTAGGCCACAGGTGTTTTTGTGTTTTCGATGGACTTCATTATATTGTATTCGGTCTCTGTGTGTGCACGTGCTTTTCCAGGACCAGTTCAGGGAGCAGAATAGAGAAGCACCCGAGCCAGAACATAAGGATCGAGCCCTGGACCCCTGCAGTAGTCAAACCACTGGGGTCACGCGGCTCTCCTCAATCTGTTTGCAGCCTGGTTTCGTTTTTTTTCTCAAACTGCCCACAGAAGGCCTTTGTTTCCCTCACACAAGACAATCAATCGTTTTGCCTCTTGCAAAGACTGCACAGTTGTCCACCACTTTTAAATCTGATATGGCATTAAGTACATTGAAACAATGTCGTCTAAAGAAGTGGTTCTTTATTCTCAAAATCATTCAATGAAGCTTTCCAGACCTGACATAAATGTGCCATTTTTGCCAAGTGACGTGTGTAACTTCTCTGGGCAATTGGACTGTGATGCGTCTGGCATACATTTCGGAGATATAGCGCCCCCTTGTGGAGTAAAGTGGACATCGCAAGGAATTGTTCATTTCACAAGATAAGAGACCTTGGAAAATCCGAAAGACCCATCAACCTACCTAGTTTCGGACGCTCTGTCTGTGCAGTAGTGAAATACTGTGAATACTAAATAAAGGATTTTTTTACTAAGAATGAATAATCACACAAAAACAAAACGTAGTTTTCCTAAACTGCCATTTATTGCTTAAATATCTGAGCAAATATCTGTAATCAGGCTAAGCACATCAATTACAGTTTCTATATATCGGAACCATTCTGTAAGAGGTAAGTCCCCTTGTGTTTGGGATTACTGCCATCACCTTTCAAGAATTAGATTTAAACCACACATCAATTAACAATATAAGATAATGACTGTCAATGATATGCCAGCAGCCATATCACCCTGCAACTCACAACTGGCAACCCACTGAACCTAAGCAGGTGTGAGCCTGGTCAGTACCTGGAGGGGAGACCTCCTGGGAAAAACTAAGGTTGCTGCTGGAAGAGGTGTTAGTGGGGCACGCAGGGGGCACTCACCCTGTGGTCCATGTGGGTCCTAATGCCCCAGTATAGTGACGGGGACACTATACTGTAAAACAGGTGCCGTCCTTCGGATGAGACGTAAAACCGAGGTCCTGACTCTCTGTGGTCATTAAAAATCCCAGGGCGTTTCTCGAAAAAAGTAGGGGTGTAACTCCAGCGTCCTGGCCAAATTTCCCATTGGCCCTTACCAATCATGGCTTCCTCATAATCCCCCTCTATGAACTGGCTACATTACTCTGCTCTCCTCCCCACTGATAGCTGATGTGTGGTGAGCGTTCTGGCGCACTATGGCATCCAGGTGGGGCTGCACATTGGTGGTGGTGGAGGGGAGTCCCCATTACTTGTAAAGCGCTTTGAGTGGAGTGTCCAGAAAAGCGCTATATAAGTGTAAGCAATTATTATTATTATAATGAAAGCCAGATAATAAAATGGGGTGAACACACACAGAAATAAGTGTTAGCGGACAGCTTTTGACTTGGAACTAATTACCGGGCTTGAATCTTCTAAGAGATCACACCCATGAGAAGTTGATGTCCCCTGACCAAGCGGTTTTCTGCTCATAGGTCTGACCCAGAGATCCCAGCCTGCAATGCTCCGTGTGCTGTGGAGTGTTTCCAGGGATATCTGAGGTTCCCAGCATGCTCTGGTCTGGGCCCAGGTGCAGCCCTGGGCAGAGTTCCCATGAGGCTCTGGCAGGGCGCACATGGCAGGTGTCCATGGGCTTGGGACCCGGCTGCTGACAGCAGGAAATGCCTCCACTTCCGGAAAGGATCCTGTGTCTGGATCATCACCCTGTGCCTTCGTCTGATGTCCTCGAAGGACAGGGCGGCCCACCCAGGCTGGCTGAGGCCGCGTGATCTTAAAGTCTTCCCCCAGGCCACCTCCATTTTATCTGTCTGCTCCTCTTGGCTCGCCTGCCCCTGGTGCATCCTTTGCCTGTCTCCTGCCAACCTGGAGCCCTGCTGCACTGGCTCAGCTACAGCCTTGGCCCTCTCTGTCTGCGTTTCCTTTCTCCCGGCTCTCTCACAAGCCGTTGGAGCTGCCTCGAGGGCTGGGAGGATGGGACGGGGCCTCTTGTCTGGGCGAACTGCAGGGTTCCTCACAGAGCCAGAGGTGCAGGCTGCGTTCAGTCTGCCCAGCGCCCTGCGATACTGTGTCCGCTGTTGCTCAATGTTTCGCAGGGTGTGCTGGTACTCCAGCTCCAGGCTGCAGAGCAGGCCTCTGTGCTCCTGGGCCTGAGGCCTGTTAAAGCTGCTTGAAGGGGCAGACAGCTGCTTCTGCATTGCAACTGTTTCAACATTGGCAGAAAGAAGTTACAAATAAGGGGCTTTACAGGTCAACAGATATGTCCAGAAATAAGACCTCAATAACTAAAATTAATCATTTTTTAAATTATTCATATGAATATTATCTCTTCATGGAAAAAAAAACATTCTAATGATGAAGTCTTCAAAGAGAGTTCCAGATTATAAATTATTTTACAATGTCTGCATATACAAAAGTGTTGTATTCATCTTATGTGGTTATAAATATATTTCGTTAATTTCTCAGGCTTGTAGTGTTCAGCTGTGTTTTAAAGATCTTCTTTTAGGTATCATGACAGCAATTCAAAAACTCACAGAAATCATTTTATCATCACTGTGTGCATCATGGACAAAAGGCAATTATTGGTCAAAATGAAGGCTGTTTCAAATTGACACACAGGTCCAAAAATGGGAAAGTAACAAAAATGGACAGTGGTATGAGAAAGATCAGAAAGCAATCTCACTCAAGCACAAGTCAAATTAAGAGCATCTGGTCATCATGCAGACCTACCTCATAGTTTCACTGGCTCTTTCTGAACGTGCACCACTGAGACATTTCAACCACAAAAACAAAACAGGAGAAAACAGAAAAAAAAATAGTTTGAGTACTTTGTGGTGTCGCAGTTTTTCCTTAGAAGCAACCACTGATTATATGGTTTATGGTTTTTCGTACTCCCTGCAGGTGTGCACTCATCATTGTGAAACAATGACAGACCCACTTGAAACATAAACCAGCATCTGAGGGTGGAACTCGGACAGGAGGCTCTTTTCCCTGCAGAGCAGTGCCTAAGCCTTTGCCTTAAAGGGGACTGCAGCAAAGTACGGTGTGTTCCTTCAGGAGAGTTTGGGAGGTAATGTAATAGCCCCGAGCCTTGGTGATGATACTCATGTGATTATCTGTATCTACAACACTCAGGCCTTCACCTGTCACTGCATGAATACCAGGTTAATTCGGTCCTCTGTGCAGCCTGCAGCTGCTAGATGACACCATCTCAATAGCCACAGCCAGGCCCACAGCCACACAGTCATCTCCAGTTACCAAGCAGAAGCACGCCATCGCCTCTGTCACATCCACTGATAAAGCCATAATGCACATCGATTCAGACCTGTGCAGCGGGACACACGTGACGATGGAAGTACTGTAATATCAAAGCCACAGCTCAGCTCGCAAGGCAATGAAGGTGGGCAGTTCGTGAATATTTCACCACGTCTCTCATTGACTGTTCCAGCCTCCCTCCAATTAGTTATCTGCCAGGCACATAGTTCCTCTCCTTGTGTCGCCTGAACACAGTGAGGAGGCAGGATAAACTGAGCACAGACTTAGCTGCTCCCCGCGAACGACAAGGTCGGGGTTGAAAAACGGGAGATTGGATAAAATAATAATGAAGAAATATGTAGGCCGGTTCAGTTGTGCTTGGCGCAAAGCAGTTTCAGCTAGGATTGGGGTGATTGTGAAAAACAGTTCCACTATGGCCTGAAATGAGCCAAAGTGCTGAGCTACCCTCCAGCCACATGCAGGAAATCCAGCAGTTCATATTCCTGGCATGGGTGACACACAGTACTTCAGTGTCTCCAGTCCACATTTCAGCTACTGAATCAGCTGTTGACCAGGACTACTTGGTTAAGGATTTAAAACACAAGTACACAACCCCAGTGATCAAGGGGCAGAATCCATCAGGTTTTCTTAATCTCTTTGAATCAGAGCTGTTTAAACTAGCCCTGGTCCGGGAGATCTGGCTAGTCTATAGGTTTTCATTCCACCTCAGCTCCTGACAAGCTACATTTCCTGATTATTAACTTAACGGGACACATTGAAGTGGCATGAGGCGCCGCTGCTTTGAAGAAAACCGGCAGTCTCACCAGCCCGCACGCACGAGGACTGGAACAGGCCTTCTTTAAACGATCAGCAGCTGAAGGACTCTGAGGAGAGGGAAGCTCGGCCAGTTAAACTAACAACGAGATCACTAAGAATAGAGGTGGGACAACAACCTATAGACTCTCCAGGACTGGAGCGGTGCACGCTAACGTCAAACGTGCCTTTTCAAATACAGCCAGAGGTTAAAACATTAGCCGCGAGCCAGTGCTCATCTATCCATCCGATGAAGCTCAGTCCAAGGCAGGGTCACAGTAAGACAGCTCCTATCCCAGGAGACAACGGGGAACGAGGCCAAACTCACCCTTGGCAGCCCATCACGTCGTGGCAGGCTCGTACAACGCTCTGGAGATACCAACTGACCTAGAGCGCCTGTCCCGGGACAGTGGGAGGAGGCCACAGCACACAGCCATGCGTAGGCTCCATACAAAGGGAAGCCCCAGCAGGAACTGAGGGCAGCACTCATGAGCGCTGAGGCAGCAGTGGAACTGCCACGCCCGCCTTCAGGTGGAATCTAGTGTCACAGCAGAACAGGAATCCAAGCTGTTTTAGAAGTCCGGGAGCATGCCACAACAGCAACAACAATAATACCTGTTAAAAATGGTACACTCATTTCTGAGTACTTTGCTTACACTAACCAGGTGTTTTTTTTTTTGTACTTTATGGCTCAGAAACCTGAAGAGACTGATTGGCTAGCCAAGGAGAAAAGTTAAATGTTAGCCACTAGATGGCACTGTGCTGCACAAACCCCTGGAGGAGATGACTGCAAGGATGAAAATGTCCTTGTACTGTAAACAGGAAATGTACATTATTTTAGAAGTTAGTTACAGGGGAAATTCTTACAGTATCCCAAAGAATCGGCTTCGGCAATGTTGCTTTGTAGTTAGTTTCAGTCCTTCATCAACTTCTCTGTGAATACCTTCCAGCATCTTGAAAACTTAACAGGCTTCACAGTCCATTTTATGGAGGAAAAAGAAGATTCTGCCCCCTCTTTTGTTTTTTTGTTTAGACCACTCTCAAGACAATTTTGGAAGTGCAGATTTATAATGTACTTAAGTTAAACGTTGTAGCAGTGTAATGCTGGCAGCCATATCACCCTGCATCTCACCACTGGCAAGCTCAGCAGGTGTGAGCCTGGCCAGTAGGAAGAGCCTGGAAGAGGTGTTAGTGGGGACAGTAGGGGGCGCTCACCCTGTGGTCTGGGTGGGTCCTAATGTCCCAGTATAGTGACGTTAAACAAAAGGTGCCGTCCCTTGGATGAGACGTAAAACGGAGGTGCTGACTCTCTGTGGTCATTAAAAAATCCCAGGGTGTTTCTTGAAAACATTAGGGGTGTTACCCCGGTGTCCTGGCTAAATTTCTCAGTGGACTTTACCAATCATGGCCTCCTCATAATCCCCTTCTCTGAAGTGGCTTCATCACTCTTTTCTTCTCCCCACTGAGAGCTGGTGTGTGGTGAGTGTACTGGTGCATGATGGCTGCTGTCACATCATCCAGGTGGGGCTGCACACTGGTGGTGGTGGAGGGGAGTCCCCATTACCTGTAAAGTGCTTTGAGTGGAGTGTTGAGAGCTGAAAGCAGATTTACAAATGTGCCCCAAGCAGAAAACAGAGACCAATCACCCTGTGATAATAGAGCAAAAACCAGACAACACAGTGTTCCTCTAGGAGTAAGGCTCTTCTCTGTGGGCAAGATTTGTCAAAGCAATACCTCAGTGTAGAGACTGGGGACACTGTTGACCTGACTGAAGTTATTTCACTTTTCTATCTGATCTGCTGTCTTTGACAGCTGGCAGAATGTGATCTCCCCGCACAGGTGCTGTCAATAACCGTCATCAATACATACATTATACACTCCCGAGAATGCCCGAAATTAAAGTTAGAGAATAAGAAGTACTTTTGAGTGGTCGAAGTCGTATTGTTGGAAGCACCAGGGAACACCGTTATAACAATAATAATAATAATAATAATAATAACAACAACAGCTCTGTTCGCGGCTGGCAGCCGGGCCTGACGCCAGGCCCCGCCCACCCCGCAGGTCTGAGCCTCTGCGGCGCTGGCACGTGACGCACGTGCAGCTCGTGGGGCTGCTCCGCGGCCTGCAGAGGGAGTCAGTCAGTCAGTCAGGCCGCCAGGCGCCGTGACGGACACAGACCCCACCAGCGCTCCGTGCGACGCGGCGGGCCGAGCCGAAGACATGAAGAAACCTCGGAGACGATGGAGAGTAAATTCTACTCGGTGAAATACGCGCAGGATGTGAAGAACCTCTTCCCGAGCGCGGAGGGCGGGCAGTCCGAGAGGTGAGTCGGCCGCTGGGCTCGCCGTTTGACTCCGCTTTCTGCCCCAGTGCTCCGGGACGGGCAGTTTGTTTTGTTTACTCCCCCGCCGCTCTGTCAGCCACCTCAGCCGAGCCCTGATTGAAGATCTCGTACGTCAAAATCGTCACTCGGAGCGCCTGCCCGTCTTTTTGTTTTCCTGTTTTGAGTGGCTTGTGGTGATATTTAGTGAAAATCGCTCTTTTCAGAGGCCGTGTAAAATACACTTCGCCGTTACAAGCAGTTGTGAAGTCGCCTGTTCTTCACATGAATCGTGTAATAATAAAGTGTCCAGTGAGATAGCAACATGTACGTCAGCTGTTTTTAACACCACCCATTTGGAAAACCGTGCGCCATTACGGCAACGACAAAGATTTAAGTCGTTTAAAGTGTTAAGGTATTCTGAAAATAACGACGTTTCATAAACTTTCAACAGTCTTTGCAGTAATTGGGCGGCCGAAATAATAAAAGCTGTAACAATTCTTTTAGTCGCTTAAAAAAAAAAAACTTGATAACTAATCTGGTAACTACTGTAAAACAGCGGGAGTTTTAAATAGTGTGGAGAAACTGTAAGAACTGAGCGTTATATTTCTAAATCCTGTCAGTCTATAGATGTATTCTTTTAATTATCTTATCGTAAATATTTTTTATGCTTTAGGTTATCACAGCCGTTAGACTGCTTAAGATCTGACCTAGTTACACGACGTTAGTTTGTCGTCTTAAAAACTTTTTTTCTGTTTCATAATGTTAGCAAGCATACTTTTCCTTTAGATTCAATACCCTCTGAAGATCCGCTCTATGAAATTGAAGGCTCCACAGCCGAAACGTTGTGTTTCTTTTCTTCTCTTTCCAGCAGGGAATAAACCTTTACCTTTTTGTGCGGTTGCCTCAATTTGTGTTCAGCCGAGACAGAAACAGATTTGAAGCTGGCTAGGTCTGAGTTGTGCTCCGGGTTTTGGTTCGGTCAATTACCAGCGAAGGCTGGCTCAAAGTGGAGTATTGTGCAATAAGAGGCTTAGGACGAGGTCCGAGAGCACAGCTCTCTCCAGACAGGCGTGATTAAGCCCGTGTGCCTTTTTGCGAAACCACCCCCCCCTCCCCCCCCCGAAGCAGGCAAGTGTGCTTTCTGGAAAAAAAAAAGGTTTAGTGGGATTTTAAGAGCTGCAGGGTTATGTAGCAGCACTGTGGTGAAGGAGACTAGCATTGCCGCCTCTCGCTGTGCTGGGGCCCTGGGGAGCTTTCTGTGTGGAGTTTGCATGTTCTCCTCATGTTCGCATGGATCTCCTCTGGGTGCTCTGATTTCCTCCCATAGTCCACAGACGTTCTGGTCAACTTAATTGGCTGGTGGTAATGTTGTTCCTGGTGGGGAGTGTGTGTGCGTGATCTCCAGCTTGCAGTCTTTGTTTGCGGGATAGGCCCCAGCTCCCCCCGCGACCCTGAATTAGATGAAGCAGTTAGGAGGTGGCGGGGCTGGGATGCTGACGACAAGACGTGATTCCTGTGAACATGAGCGTTTCCCGCTCATTCCTGTGCGCGACTGAGTTTTGTGCCTTTTCTGAACAGGACCAAGACCTTGTTTGAGGAAATCCGTGCCTCTGTAAACAACAACGAAGACCAGGACCGGTCCTTCTGGAGGCCGGTTCTTCCTTGGGGGGGTGTCTACACCATCAAGGCTGGGCGGAAAGCCATCTCCTGCACCCCCCTGTATGTGAAAATTAACCTGAAGAACACATGCACCATCGATGGCTTCCTCATGCTGCTCTATGTCATTCTGCGGGAAAACCAGGCCTTCCCCAGGGAACTGTCCATCTACCTTGGCAAGGAGTTTGTGGATCACTTCCTGTACCTGATGGATTCCTACAATTACACCACGGTGAAGCTGCTGTGGATCTGGGACAAGATGGAGAAGCGCCAGTACAGGTCGGAGATCCACAAGGCGGCGCTGGAGATTGACCTGTTCGGGAACGAGCACGAGAACTTCACCAAGAACCTGGAGAACCTCATGTCTACCATTCAGGAGAGCTACTGCTCCAACTGGAACTGCCCTGCTCGCTTTCAGGAGTACATCCAAAGGACAGTAAACATCAAGTAATTTAACTTTTTTTTCCCCCTCTTTCGTTTTTACTGATCACGCAACTTTTTGATCAGTAAAAAAAGAACTCCTCTACTAGGAGGAAGACCCCACATAATCTGATCGCTCTGTTCTACTCTCTGCTTAAAAATAGGTAGAAGTGTGATAAGGATTTAACGTTCATCGTCTTCTACGCTGTCAGTGAATTTATCATGTGTATGGTATCAGTTTTGGATTGCCCTGGGAAATTGAGACACATACTAGATTGTTGATAACACCAGTAAAAATTTCTGTTCTCACTTGGTTTTATAATTATTAACCTCGGTTGAAGTGCAGGAAGCCTGCGAGATAGTTTCAGATCTTGACGCTGGACAGAATTGAAACTGTTGAGTATTAGGTCTTTTGTATTGTTTTTATCCACTATGAAATCTGAACACGGATGTAATGACTTCTTGGTGTGGAATGTTTTTATTGAAAATCTTGCAATCTTAATTAAATTTAAGTGTTTTGTACAGTGTTTTTTACAGATGACAAATATCTCACTCTGCAAGCGTGCATTGATTTCTTCCCTGAACATTTTCACACTGAAATGAAGTATAGCTGTTTGAGTTCTCAGAAGCATTACAAAGGAAGGTTTATCAGTTTCCAACTATACTCATAACCAGCCCAACCAGGCTTACATCCATCATACAAATTGTCTATGATCAGTGGGACAGATTAACATTCATTAGCCCTGTTGTTTCATAGTACATTTCAACTTTAACATTTTAACATTTTGCCCCATTTAATAGAAAGCACCACAGAATGATCAGTATAATAAAAGCAAATGTTACGAAGCTAAATAATATGACTTGGCAAATGTCTTCTTTTACAGTCCTCCACATGAAATGCCTCACAGAGACCTGATTCAGTCAGCAGTGGATGAATTCTTCTGCCCTAAGATAGTACTATGTGAGGAATTGGGGTAAGATGGCAAACTCTGCAGGTGACCTCCAAAAAAAGCATTTTGAAGCATTATCCTCTTCCATTTCAGGAAGAAAGTTTTACATTTTGAATGTGTATTTTGTGTCTGATAGGTACAGTACATACATATATATATATACAGGCATATATTGTTCTCTAGCTTATAGTATTGTTATCTCAAGTGTTAAGTTTCAGAAGGAGATTTTCTTAATTCTATATTATATATGTATATATAACCATATTGATAGGGTTTATTCAGTTTGTGCACTGTGTAGGCACATACCATTTAGCTGTGAGTCCCATCTAAGAAGTTAAAATTATCCTGAGGAATTCTCTGGCACTGCTTCCTCAACATAGTAGGTCAATGCTATTCATTTTCATTTTGTCTGGTATGTGTGTCAGTGTGACAGGTTTGCAGTGTGTCATTTTGTGAAGGGCCTCAGGTGACTTTCTATTTCCACCGCGGACTACCATGATGACGTAGCATCTGCTTTCTCTAGTATAGAAGGGTTTCGAAACACCTGTGATGTGTGCAGTTACACTCTTTTTATACCGGACACTGCCCGTCTATTTTTAATTTCTTTGTTAAAACTTTGTGTTCTACCTCAGTGGGGTTCAAGATGCAAGCCTGTGTTTTCTCTTCGTTTGAAAAAACCGCCTCGGGCAGAAGGGAGGGCCTTCCTCCCAGTGGCACTAACACGCCGCAATGTCCACGGTCTTGCCCTTCGATATAAGTTCTGTGAGGAACGTGAATGGCGAAGAGAACGCGGGCGGCCGCGGGTGCTGGGGTGATGGCTGTACTAAAGGAAGTGTGCTCTATGCTGTGCCGCAGGTGTGACGGGCTGCGGGAGTTTTCTCCCAGGGAGTTCTGCCACGGGCCTCCGCCCTTTGTCATTTTAAACATGCAGCTGTGGAAGTCTGAGGAGCTGGCGTACGTGCCCTACCACCTCGCCCTCTCCGAACACAGGTGGGCGCTCGGCTTTGTCCTACCCCCCAGATTCTATTCCAGAAGGGTAGTCGTGCAGTGGGGGAAGTATACACATACTGCCTGCAGCCACTGAACAGAGTACGTTCGCTATTTATAGATGCGGGGAAATTCATGAAGTACTGGTTGTCCTGCTGTTGAAGCCAGTCAGCGTGTGAGGTTTAAGTCTAGCGTAGATCTGTGAAGGGGTTGTCATCGCTCCTCAAGCACGCCTCAGTCTCCACCTCTTGTCAGTTCACTGCCGCTGTCTGCGGAGCGCAGCACCCAAACGAGAGGGGTGGATGATGTAAGATAAGATCACTTTATTGGCTGTATACAATTTCTTGTATTAGGAATTTGTCTTTTCGCAGACCCCAACTTGCTCTCCATGAGACACAAAGACAGGCAGAGAAGCTTGGGGTCAGAGCACAGGGTCAGCCATTTATACGGCGCCCCTGGAGCAGTTGGGGTTAAGGGCCTTGCTCAGGGGCCCAGCGGAGTAGGATTCCTCTGCCGGCCGCAGGATATGAACCGGCAACCTTGTAGCCACAGGCGGCGATCCTTAGCCACAGAGCCACCGCACCGCCCCCAGTGGAGACATGAACCTGGACTGAGCCCCGTTTCTCTCTGGTGTGACCTGCAGGTATTTGCTAGAGGGAGCCACGCTTTTCAACAAGGAGGAGCACCATTACTCAGCCGCCTTCCAGATTGACGGGTACTGGATGCACTATGACGGACTCCGCAACGACAACCTGATTCTGCTCAATAAGCCTCCTGAGCTGCTGCTGCTCTCCTCACTGGTCTACATCCGTGCCTCGGAGAGATGAGCTCATCTGGCCTTGGGTACGGGAAGACAGGGAACAAAAGGCATTATCAGAAGCCCAAGTGAACGTTAACCTTTTTTTTTTGTTTTTACCCCTTTATGAAAATTACTGACACATTAAACACTTTGGTGTATGCGTTTAATGAATTTTATTTCCATGTAACTGTTATTGCATTTTTTTATACCTTTTATAGTTTTCAGAGTGTGTGTTGATTGTACACTACTCCAATACATCATGGTGAAGTGCGAGTTGGTATGATGATGGTCACATTAATTACAGTTCAAGGCTGCAGCACAAAAACAAAGTGTCAGGCAGGATAGTTAGATATGTTGGTAATGTTGCATCCCTTGATATTTTGTTCTGAATTGGTTAGGTGTCTTGCTGAAAAATGTATTTATTCCATAATCCCATTGTTTCTTTAAAGAACTCTTGGGCCAAAGTTGTCATTAGAGCCCTATTTTGCCAGACTGCGGTTAATTATATTACTCGGCACGCAAAACATAGCTTTTTTGGGGGCTTGCTTGGAATCCAAGAATATGTATGGACTATAATAGTTCTGATTTCAGATCAGACTGGTGCTTATTGAGACTCTGCATTAGAGAGTAGCTGGTGTATAAGAGGTTTAATAGCATGTCAGAGCGGGGTGGTGAACACCTACCAACTGGGGATATAGCTTCACTATTGACAAGCTTACGAGTGTTAATTAATTTCATTGTTCAGTGAATATTTTCATGATCACTACTGTGGATCTCTTTCCTGTTCAAACTCCAGATTCTCAAATGTTGAAATGGGTAACCTTACACTTTGTGTGAAATAAAGATATGATGATATGAAAAGGCTCACCGTGCAGTCACTGTTGAAGATGCAAAGTCCCTTTAAAGAATGTTGTGTCCATAGCTGCAGCTTTGACACTAACTTGGTCATGCTTTTCCTAAGTGGACAGTAATACCAATTGCTAGGCTGCCAGGGGACAGGTGCTGATGGGAAGTCAGAATCTATTTGGACAAGCTTTTAATTTGGTAATGCTTGTCTGAAAAGTGCACTGTTGTAGCAATATATATAGAAGCATATTCAGAAAACATTTACTTCTGGCTTTGCTAGTTGGTTTCTTTTTGTGGTGTTCTCTGTGAACTGTTTTAGAATGGCTCTATACTTAGAAATGTACATGTAAACTATTTGCAGATCAAATGCAAGTAATCAGTATACAGTAGAGGTAGTCTTCTGTTTGGTCACAACTTTAAAAGCACAAGAGCTGTGTTAAGACACTGGGGTGTTTATTCTTATCAAAGCAGTGTGGAACATTGTGTTTTTTCATACAGATAAAATGTTTTGCATGGTAGCTAGCAAAATAAAGATTAAAGGAGTCTTTGTAGATGGAGGGCCTGAATTGGTGTCTGAAGGCCCCCTGTTTCATACCAAAGGCAATGAAAAATGTGTAAGGAGAACTATCTAAATCAGTTTATACTTACTTTGTCACATGTTCTGGATTTTTTTCTCCCCACTATGAATAATGATCTTTTAAACTCACCGCAGTAATATTGACATCTTAACATTAAGAATTAAATGTTTTCACATTAATGCCCTTGTTACAATTACATTTAATTTATTAAATTTGAAGTATGAAGTAAGCTTAACAACTTCTAGATTAACTTTGCAAAAATGTGCATGTTGACACTGCTTTGATATATATTTCTGGCTTTATGATCCATCTAATACTTAATACGTGCAGATATATTCTGTAATTATGGAAAGTACCTTGGTAGTGTTCCTTATGTTCGTAAGCAGAAGATTTTTACAGTCTATCACTAGCTATGCAGTTATTTATATATTTTGTTTTGTAAAAATGAAAATATTTTTGTATACAAGTATTGACCATAATAAACTCTTGTTTTAATTGAGTTGTCTTTTGTGAACTGTACCTGAGAAGCTACTGTAGGTGAATCTTAAAATGCTACAGCGCAGATCACAATTATGTTTGGAGACAATGTGGGCCTCCTTAGCAATTCCAATTAAGCACTGGCAATCTAAATCTGAACATGAATTATTGTTCGTAAATCTAGACTTCCTAATATCTCTTAGAACTCTCCCTCATTCTAGTAAGGAGCAACAGGTCCAGGCACACGTTGTTGAATATGGGTTGGATGGACAGACAAATGTTAAAACAGGGAAATGAAGCTTGATGTAGTGACTCTTTCCCTTTGCACTGTGAGAAAGAGGAGATGCCCCACCCTGCCCCCCAGTTGAATTTGGAGAAACCTCAGCTATTGGAACAAAAGTTACATCTTTTCAAGTTTTCATGTTAACAGCTGGCATTTGTCATGTTTACTTGCAGGATAGCATTTAATTTTCCCAAAATACCACCTTCTATCAGTGACATGAAGTGTGTTGCTCTGTAAACCCACCTCTTTAACACGATCAGTACTGTGTATTTGTGAAAGTGACTGTGCAGCATCCCCTCATGAACAACAGCCTCTTTTGATTTGTGTTTATTTAATAAAGTTCACACATTCAATGGAGTATTGTAATAAACAGGGGTTAATTTTGCAGTTATCACAAGAAGCATGTAAATCTTAACACTGCGCCTTGAGAATGCGCAACAATGAGAATGTATGCAACAGTCATTGCTCATTATGAAAAGCAGTTCAGATGCCAGTTGTAATGTAAACCAAGGAATCTCGCAGGAATCCATTCTAATCAACACCACGACACAGCAGTATATACACAGGAGAATACATTTAAAAAAATCCACATTCACAGACCGGCATACACACACACACACATTAATTTGGAGTTTTAAGTACAGTGTCCCCATTCGAGAAAGAAAAGTTAGTTTAAAAAGTATTTTTTTTTTTCAGAGGAAAGCACAGCGCATAAGGCAAACTTGTAACTATTATCATCCAGTTCTTTGTTTTTAGATCAGGGTTAGTTTTAACCACAATCACAGCTAACATAGCTGGCAAGCTATTTGTTTCCACCAGAAATATCAACTTCACACTGTCAACATGGGTAATTGTCACTGATCACAAATTTAGTACATACAAATACAAAAAAGTTTCACATACCACTTGTTAAATGAAAGATATGTCGACAAAAAAATGGCTTACTATAGAACTGAACCCTCCCTAGAATCTGACACTTACAAGGAGATTAACATTTCCTGTTGCCTCCAGCTGTGAATCAAATTGATTGGAGGCAATGGTTTTTCAGCAACACATGGTATGCACCTACAACAGTGTACATGTGTATGGTGGATACAGGACCGTACAGTATGTAGATGACAGTATATCACAGCCAGGGTCATGGACAAAAAATGTACACCCATTCAAGACAATACTATTTTAATACCTGTGTCAAATTACACTGTAATTCACCCAAAATAACAATAGACTAACATGAAATTTTAACAAAATAAGGTCTACATTTGGATACCTTATCCTCTGTTTACTCAGGAGATACAAATTGGGATGCCTGACATTCTGAGAATCATGCTTGGAAGTCCCCAGACTGTGCCCACAACTTTTCAGAGAAATAAAAATTGGAAATGAATTCTTAAGGCGGGCATTTTTACTTACTAAACCAGGCTTACTAAAATAGTGCTTATGTGGTAATAATAATAATGTTTCTGTAACATCCATAAAACCCTCAGGTGTGTCTTTCTAAACAGTAAAGTAAAATAAAGACACCTATATGGACACAGATCATGCAGTAGTGTATCATTTTGTTCCAGTGTGCTGCTGAGACAATCGAGGACTTGTTTGGAACCCGGGTGCGCACACAGAAGTCGCAATAGGAACTGAATGATAATTTGGCGAACCAGCTCAACAGTCCTTAGCGAGGTGATATAGTTCTGCATTTGTTTTTCTATCCCTCTTCTTTGCAAAATGAGCACTTTGGTGAAAATGATGGCAAACAAGGATGAGTTCAGGCATGAACAAGTGTTTAAAACAAATGAAGTCCTGCAAATGAAGTGGTTCCATACATTGTCAAGGATCAATACCCCATTTACAACTTAACATTTCCAGTCACTGGCATTACAGATCTCCCTCCCTCATCACTTGCAGTTTCCAGTATGTCTTTGACTTCAAGCCTGCTGGAACATTTTTTTTGGAAACATGGACAACCTGTTTCAAGCTGAAGAATATCACACTTATATCTGACGGAATATAAAGGTGATATGCCCTTGACACGGTTAACCTCTAGCTGGTTCAATTGTTTATAAAAAAACACACTTTTTAAAGCAGACACAGCTCAATATTACACCAGCAAGTTACACAACTAATGTAGCTCTCCTCCTGTAATAATGCCTTGCTTGCTTACATGAAATAAGTTTCACTTGAAAAGATTCCGTAAAGATACCATTACCCTCTCTGAGCTTCAAAAACTACACCTTTCTTACAAGGCCCACAAACACACTACATTCCGATTGCCTCACTCAGTTCTCCATAATATTCTTATCTCCTAACGTCTGTCCACAGACATTTGCATTTTTTTGACGAAAAGTCTATTCACTCTATAGTATATAATATAGAATGGATAGTTTGCACACTGGAAAAAATAAGGACAAGCACACTTTAATGACTCACATATTACAAATAAATTCAACCTATAACATGATGGGGACTGGGTTCGATTCCAGATTAATAAACATTCTGTGCACAGTTCGCATGTTCACATGGGTTTCTTCCCACTGTCAAAACCCATGCTCTTTAGGCTAATTAGTGTATTTTATTCCTAGCAGGCCTAGTGTTCTGTCTGGAGTGTAGCCCCACCTTGCTCTCTATGCTTCTGACCTCTGTTCCATGATTCTTACCAGGAATAAATGGCTTTCTGATCTGGGAAAGATGGAATTCGAACTTGTTATTAAGGAGATAAAACATCCAAGAAAAAAAGGACACTAGTTTCTTTCACTAACAAAATCAGTCTCCGTTTTAACTCTGTGAAAATTCAGAAAGTGACAGGATTCACTGCATTGAACCCCTGCTTTTACTCCAATACTGCGTACCTATGTGTACATCAGTCCTGTCACTACAGTTAAGTGCTCTTGTATGCATTTAATGCATTTACGTGAGATAGGGGGCAAACTGTATCTTTAACACTCTTGTTCACAATCTTGGTCAGTCCAGTGGCTGACAAATTCAAATGCCTGCTTGAAGAGGATCATGGATTCCTTCTGCTGGTAAAGACAACAGCTTCATATGCAAACTAACTTCACATTTATTGCTAGAGGCAGAACAACACTACCTGCAGTATTAACATTAATTTAGGTGGGTTTTCTCGATCAACATTAATTGTGACATACTTCTTCACTCCCTCCCAAAAACGTCATGATGCATTACTTTAATACAACAAAAAGAGATTTAATGGATTTCATACTGAGTGAATATCAAAAGTTCAAGATCTGTTTCTTTCTAACAGAGTTCCATGACTGAACAAGGAAGAGAAAGTCTACTACACAACAGACACATCTAAGAGAGATACTAGAAAACCAGAACAGTTACTTACAACAAGCAAATGCATTCAATTCACTTACACTTAAATAGTCTAATAGAAAAAACCTGTACAAAATATTATTGCACTATATCTTAAATACCAGTAAACATGTATAATAGACTCTGATGATCACTCAGTATAAGTTTTGGTCATGGCCAAAGTGGAGGTTGGAAAGCAAAACAAATATAAACTACTGCTACCATTACCCTTGGTTAGGCCATTATCTCAAGGGCATAAGAGGAAACTAGGCATTCTGGCTTTTCAGATTACAGCAGCTGGTTTCAGCTTCCAAAGTCTGGGTCTTTCTCACCGTTTCTACTCAATCCTGAACTGACTTGACCTACTGACTAATGGTGGAATTGATCCCTAAGTGGCAAGAACAGCCACCGCAATCTTGGCATGCTATCAACCAGTTCTTATGGCCGGCTGCTGATCTCAATCGACCTCACTGGGTTAGGTACGCATTTTGGATTGGAATGGCATTTTTCTGTTCAAAGAATGGAACCACAAATTGCCCTGTTTTTTTTTTTACCAGAGTAAAATCAAGACTATCTTGCTGCAGTGGTTCAGTGCTCACTCTGCTTTGTGAAAAGGAGTCTTTTCAATCATGAAATCATACACTGATATTGTTTTACTAATTCTATTTGCACCATATTTCAGCTTACACCCAGTGCAGTACACTATGCTTCATGTTCCACAGTCCTACTTATACCATAATTCTCAACAGTAAAACTTTCAGAAGGTAATCCACCATCTCAGGATCCCCAGAGCTTTGGCAGCGCATTGTGAAACCAGTGTGACTCCACTCTGGCCTGGCATGACAGCTCTGAGAACACTGGCAGTACAGCCCTCAGCCTGGCAGGGGAGCCTAGTTCTGAACACAGCAGCTGTCTCCCAGCCCCCTCCAAAGGCCAGCAGTTCATAAGCGGCAGGGATTGCAATAAACACAAACACATTACATCACCTGGCTCTTAGCCTCTTTCTCGCATATACAAGCACAAATAAAACAAGGGGCCATTTGCTAAGGAAGCTATTTGAAGGCAACACATTTGTCAAAAATGACTTTTGTGATTCACTTATCACTTTTCTTGGGCTTCAGGTTCATCGTCATGAATATTATACCTACAATCTGTCTTGAAATTCTGGAAGACCTATATACACTTTAATATAATACTTATTTTCAACCAGTGTATATTGCATAAAACAGGGTATTTAAAAATAATTATTCTCCCTTGAATTATATTGTCAGTTTTGTCTTACTATTGATATGAATAAGTTCATTGTTTAACAGTACTGATTGGCTCTAGAGAGCATCCAAGACATTAATTAGCCACAATGCAGTTGAAGCCTAAGCTGGATGTAAGAGACCCAAGGATTTATTATAGAAACTGAAATCTAACTTCTGTTTTCATGTTTCTGACAAAATAAAATACCCAAATGCCTAACCAAGTTATATGATTTTCCTCTTAGTAATATTGGTTACCAGAAACAATAATGTATTACAGAATGCAATAAAGTCTTACACTCTCAGGACAAAACTGTGTGCTGTAATAAATGCAGTATGATGGTAACATTGGTCCCTTTTTCTTTCTGTACCGGTAAGAGACCTACATATCCCACAATAATACAAATACTGCAACATACAGCACATTCACTGGCTGACTTTTTCACAACTGCACTGAGAAAATGAAAAGTGGATTCTACAACAGCCACAACTGAAGAGAACATTTCTCCTTCATGATGTCCAAGATGAAAGGAAAACAATACACATCGACATTTGTGACAACTATCAGTTAATATTCCCATTGACAGCTGGTTACTTTGGTATACCTGTGGTGTGAAGAATTCACTTATCTGAGGGTTAACCTTTTCTCATCAGCTGAACTTGAAAGTGTGTCTCTCCATAGACACGGGACTAGAAATACACAATGCTGTTTGTTTATACAGGCAAACACACTTAAAGTTATAGAAGAGTTAGGTGGGATCTTTTCTCTTGACAAATCGGTAAAAAAAAACAATAACAACATTGCTCATTACAGCTCTGCGGTGCAGCCAAGACTTTGCAGTTTCATTATCATAAAATAGACCAAACACGCTCACATACACACCTTTATTGGCATTACTCCTGTTTTAAGCTCCCGTCCATTCAATGTCAGAGAACACGTGAGTGGGGAAAAATAAAAGTCAACAATTACAAAACATCAAGGAAGTAAAAAGGCTTATTGCGTTAATTAAAAAAAATGGTAAAATGCTACTGACCCCAGTTTAATGCAATATGGGCGATGTCCATAAAATACAAGATTAGTCATTAAGTGCAATGCAATTCTTTATATTCTTACGACATGCAAATATTTTTCCGCACTTTAAAACAGACACATTTAACTTTAACTTCCTACGTCGACCCCTTGCTCCAGTGTAGCCCTGCTTAGACTCCTCTTGTTCTACAGCTCCCTCTACTGGAACACAACATGCACTGCACCTCACAGAGAGCCTGCTCCCCCGGGCCGAATTCCAGGAGCACACAGGCTTGGCCAGGATTCTTTCTGCAGCAGCAGATCAATACAAAAAACTAAGACGACCTTTTTTTTTTTTTTACTGCATCACCTTTTTATCTCCAGTGTGGTTAAAAACACTGGTTTGTCAAGACCTATTAAAAAGGGACAACAAAGACTGCGAGGGCTAATTAAGTTTGTCTTAAAAATAGGTTTCAGACTTAGACCAGAGAACCATCTTAACTCGCATGGTTGCCAGTTACTTCTGACTGGAAACACAGTATAAGTACTTGAAACACTCCTTAGTCTGGGACATTAAATTTACTTATTGTCAGTAACTAGTATAACTCTGGAGTGTCTTTCATGCATCTTTAGAGAAACAAGTTTTATTTTGGCACTTTGTATTTGAGCCTGTGAGATTTTCTCCTTCTTTATTTGGGACATAAAGAAAGCGCATTTTGACAATGCTGCCCATTTGGAGGATGGCTGCATCTGCTTTTGAGAACAGCATCTCTACCCACGGAAACTTTGAATCCGTCGTGGGCTGACAGTGCAGGTCGAAGTCTAGTTCCAGTCCGTCTATCACTGTGACTCAGCTCGCTAGCAGTTCGGAGAACCAGAGAAAAGAGAGGATGAATATGGCAAATGGCTGAGTGAGGCCTGATGCCAGTGTCTCTAGGGCTGTAGATAACCACCACAGCTCGTAGGGATGCAGGCCTGCTAAGGCATAGCGATTTATTGCATGGAGCCCGCTCGTCAGCCCGAACAAAAAGCGTTTTCACTTTCCCTTTTCTGTTCCTTTATAGTTTTTGTTACAAAAATAAAAATTGGCAGATGAATGCGTGTACAGGCACAAAATTACAACAATGACAAAGAAAACTGGTGGAATAACACATGCACCGAGAAACACCACACTGCCATAAAGACATCATTAACGGTTTTATCCTGAATCCTATGATAGCACCAGAGAGAGTATCGTTTCCAAAATGCTTCTACAGCGGCTATGTGAGAAGGATTACAGCGGGGGGGGAACACTGACGTGTTACACACCCTCAGTGTAGGCGTTTCTTACAATTAAACTGGTTAAGTCGAAGGTTAAAGTTGGCCCTCCCAGGAGGGTCACACCTCTATAGCAAAGTAGTGTGGAGAGTGACCCACAGCTCACTGAAATATATTGCGCTCGTTAAAATCACTACTCCTCTCTCAGCCACTCCACAAACACACACGTCCCCTAACTAGAAACCCAGTGCAGAAAACATTTACAGGCATCGCACTAGAGGATTTTTTTCACTTCAGTTATTTACAAGAAAAAAAGGCAGCCCTTTTTTAAGTGAACAAGTATAAAGTTGTTTTTTTTTTCTTTCTTGTGAAGCACTGGTTCATGTCCATTAACAGATGCAGTCGGACCTCCTGTGGCCAGAGAGATGCAAATGTCTGGCTACAAGTCACGTGACGCACAAAAACCGCAGACGCATGAGAACCAACACGTGTGTGCTCACACACCCACACCTACAAGCACGCACACACACATCAAGGTTAGTTAAGAGAACTGCGTCTCTTTGCCTTCCACCAATAGTGGAAATAGTTAAAAAAAAAACACAGACTTAAAACTGGAGTGTGGCCAAGGGGGAAAAAAAGGTAAAATTATAATATCCATAACAAAAAAGAACCCCATTAGAACTGCCTTTCTGCCCCTTTGACTGACACCTTAACTTTTAGTCCAGAAGGCGACAGGGCAGGGTAAGGGCGGCCCTCTATTACAGGGGTTCCCGATCCTGAGGCCCAGAGACCCACTGCTTCACATTCCAGCCAAGCTTTATTACCTAACTGAACCCTTAAATAAACTAGCACGTTGCTTGATTGGGATATTTACACATTTTTGTGTAATTTTATTTTCCCTTATGAAATCTGACAGCCCAAAGGGCAACCTCCACCGTGTTTCAGAGCCCAAAACAATCAAAAAGCAGACCTTAATCCTATCGTTACGTTAATTAAGGGTTCAATAGTGTCAACAACAGCTGGGCTGGAACACAAACCAGCAGGCGTGTGGGCCTGCAGGACCAGGGCTGGGAGCCCCTGTTCTATTGCACACAAACGCCAGAACACAAGAGTCGCAACAGAAAGACTGACAGACACGCGCCCACACTCCATGGTCATCTGGCTCGGCAGGTCCGTGATGCGGAGTCCAACGCCTGATCCCGACAGGCCAGTTTCCGTCTCCGCTTCCTTATTTTCTGACTGCTTCGTCTTCCGTGATCCCCTCTTTCCCCCACCGCCCTGCCTCCCCCGCTTTCCCAGAATCCACAACGGGGCTCCTGGGGCTCAGCAAAAATGGGCACTTTTTTTTAACTTTCTTCGTCCTCCTCTTCTTCCTCTTTATTGCCTCACCGTACCCGTTTCACATCCACCACCCACCCTCTTAAATAAAAATCAGAATGAAAAGGAAAAAAAAAAAGCAACCAGTTTCTACCTTCTGTTAGTCCAGTTTCATCATCCGGTCATATTAATTGTCAAAGGGCAGTCAGACCAAAGTTACAGCGACAGTACTTCATGCCACTGGAGTCCAACCAGTTGTCTGTGATGGGGTCGTACCTCTGGACTGTGTTCAGGTATGACGATCCCGAGTGACCTCCAACCACATAGAGGTAGTTGTCCACAATAGCTGCACCCACTCCTGAATGAGGACAGAAGACACCCAGCGGTCAGTCACACACAGCCCTGCGCTAACTACACAACTACTGCCAATCTGAACAGCATGCTTACACGCATCATAAGCTAGGGCTTGAGCTACATTACAACGCTCAACACATTGAGGGGGCAACGAGCAGGTTTATCACGCTGTGCCAAACCTCTAGCCTTAGACAAGGGCATCAATGCAAAACTGAAGCTCTCGTATTACCCAGAGGTCTTTTCTCCTGGTGTTGGAAGCAAGAATTCAAGCTTTGCACTGACGAAAAGCCTGCTGCAATTCAGATTAAGTCAATAAACTGTTCAATTAAGTAATTTAGGAAAGAAAACCAGAACAACCTTAGAGGAGTTACTCACCTGTTCTGGGCTCGTTCATTGGCCGGCATGCTGTCCACTGGTTCTGGTGAGGGTCATACCTCTCTATGCTAGACAGATGAGAGACGCCGTTGTGTCCGCCCACCACAAAGATGAAACCCAGCATGACGCCCACCCCAAAGTTTATTCTCTTGTCTGCCATTGGGGCCACCATTTCCCATGAGTCCTTGCTGGGGTCATACCGCTCCACACTGTGAGAAATACAGAGGGTTAGACTAGTGAGAGGGCAGAAGGGGTCATTGCAAACAATGCTGCCCGACAAAAAAACATGGGGGCAGCACACACAGCTCTGAACAGCTTATTCTCTAGGTTCAGTCCTTAAAACAATACTAATCGTAAACACATAGAAAATACATATTCACAATAAAGGATACGGGTAAAAAAATTCTCAACTATGAATTGAGAGCTGATGTGTGGTGAGCGTTCTGGCGCACTATGGCTGTTGTCGCATCATCCAGGTGGGGCTGCACACTAGTGGTGGTGGAGGGGAGTCCCCATTACCTGTAAAGGGCTTTGAGTGGAGTGTCCAGAAAAGCGCTATATAAGTGTAAGCAATTATTAATTATAATTATTATTATAAGTATTTTTTCCTTAAGAATCCAGGGTGTCTTACAAAAAGACAGAAAAAAACTGCCAGTCCTTGCCAAGAGACCAGAAAAATCCAAACAGCATACAAACAGGGTTGTGTTGCTTCTTACCTGGCGTCAGGTTGTTGTGTACCATGGTAAAACACAACGACTCAAGCTAAACCCACAGTAAAGGAGGTATGGAAGATCGAAACCCCTGACCTGCCAGTCTCCTACAGCCTTAGATTTATTACATTTAATTAAAATGCATATGTGTGTGCTGCAGTGTGACCTAACAATATTACGAATAAAAACAAAGGGGAATGATCCGTTTTTCTTCATCTCTGGGTTTGATGCGTCACTCCCCAACCCCACGGGGAGCAGCTTTTGATGCCTGTGAGAAGCCACAGTGGCCTTGGCCTGGGCTCTTTGATCCTCTTCAAGGGATCTGGAGAAGCCAGGTAGGGCTGTACGCCACCTGGCACACACACAGGCACACGGTGTCCTTTCAGTCCGTGCTGGGACAGCAAGGCCGGAACAGCAGTGAGAGAATCCACCCCCTGCTACAGCTACGCTCTTGTTTCTCTTACGCCGCAGTATAGGTAACGGTCTATCAGTATTTCACTGTTTTGCTGGAACCAATTCCAAGCAAAGAGCTGTTGTTGACTGGACTTCACTTTACAAATGCCTACTTTGTTTCTGAGACACCCCTTTCCTTGGAGAACAAGTTGTCTTTTGCATGAGAGAGCTCTGTCTTCACTCCGTTTCTGGCCACTGGGGATTAACTCTGATCGTCTAACTAGCCCCCAAAAGACAAGAGTTTCCAATTCAAGGCAACACGCTCCTCTCCTGATACCTTGTTGTATCCGAGGCAGAACTCAATTACGAGCAAAGAACAAATCCTCCCCAGACAGCCAACGGCTAAGCTCAGGTTACAAAATGTTCTCCATTTGGTGGACAGATCAACAAAAATCAGATCTGTACTTTAGCAGAGTGTCTCAAAAGTGCTTTAGAGGGTTACACATGCAGCTGGCTAGTTTAGTAGCTCACTGTTCATTGACACTTCACTATCCAATTCACAACAAATGTCAAATAATCTAAAAACTGAGAAACTCCTCATCTAAAGCAGACTTGTGAGTTTAAATGGGGGTTATCATTTGTGCCTCCCTTGCTCTTGTGATAAGCTTGGGGTTGTTCATGTCCGCAATGCCATGTATTTGAAAGGGGTTTATTCTTGACGTATAGTTTATTTGTGGGGTACCAGAGTGATTCCAGAAGTAATCCAGTCCGGGCCTTAACTCCACACATTGATGGTTCTGATGTGGGCAAGGCCGCTAGATGACCACGCCCTCAGCCCTGTGTGTACAGCTGGAGCCCATAAATAGCTGAGTGGCACTCGGGTTCGGTGGGTTCAAAGCAGCCTAGATATTTTCTTCCTCCCACACAACACGAACAGCAGTTCTCGTAGCAGGTTTGGGCCCAGTAAGCTTGCCATGTTATCAATTAGACCTACATCTGTCCCCTGTCGCAGTACCCTTGCTCTCTAGTTGATTCTGGGGGCCTGCAGGGGTGAATAAGCATTGGAAGACCTGAGAATAGCATGGTTATATATAGAGTAGATATAACTAAATATACTGACATTGCATCTTCTATGATCACATATGGGTTGTAGCCATGCATGGAATTGATTAAGACCAAGACAACCACCCGTGTGAGAGTGTTTCTGACAGAGCTTTCACAAAGTTAGCGTGCAAGGCTTTTGTGACAGCTTGGTTTCGATCACGCGATGCACCTCCGGGGGCGCCGAGCGCGGAGCAGGGCGGCTGCTCTCACCTGTTCATGTGCGCCGGGCCGTAGCCCCCGATGGCGTAGATCATGCCGTCCAACACGGCGGTGGCAAAGCAGCTGCGCGACTTCATCATGGGCGCCACGGGCTGCCACTCCCTCACCTTGGGGATGTACTTCTCCACCGACTGCAGGTAGTACTGCCCGTCGTACCCCCCCAGCGCGTACAGCTCCCCCGCCAGGACCACGACTCCCAGCGTGCTCCGGCACTCCGCCATACGCTCCACTGGCGACCACATGTTGGTCTCGGGGTCCCAGCACTCCACGGTGCTCTCGTGCCGCCGGTAGCTGATGCCCTGCCGCATGTGAGTGGCGATCCCGCCCACCACGAACACCTTCTGGTCCAGCACCGCAATGCCGAATTCGTAGCGGGGCACGCTGAGGGACGCCAGGCCGATCCAGGAGTCCGTCTGGGGGAAATACATCTCCATGCTGCCGGAGAGAGAGAAGTGATGGGGGGGATTGAGTCCACATCCAGGACAAAAAAGGCCATTGTGGCCTTTTCCTGCAGCACAGATATGATGAATGTTTAACCAATTATGTCAACACAGTGTATTTTTGCTGGGTGCTTCGTCACACTGCTGCCACATAGGAACAAGTAAAGGTTTATTCCATGCTGAAAAGAAAGGAAAGGAAACAATGTTTCAGCCTTGGAGCCTTCTTCCACAGCTGAAACGTTGTTTCCTTTCTTCTCTTTTCAGCATGGCATAAACCTTTACTTGTTCCTTTGCAGCCTACGCATGCTGACGCAGCTACCTACTTCAACTACTTCTGCTACCACATATTACTTCACTTCAGAACATTTTTACAGCATTTTGATTTGTTTACTCTGTTGTTACAATGGCACGTCATGGCTAGCTTTCACAGATAGGTTTCAAAGAAAAGATCATTCCCCCCCCCACAAAGCCTCCACAGAATGTTTTAACACTGTAAGTAAAAAAAAAACAGCTTAATGTCCAATTTTTTTAGTTTAAAAAATAAAAAGTAGGCCTTTTAAAGCAGACTGTTGTAAAATCTATCAAATACCCTGGAAGGCCAACACTAAGGGTCAGAAAAGGAAAACACAGGCTTACCCATGTCATTAAAATACACAAATAATACTTGAAGCTTGAAGGCATAAAACAGACTCAGAAATAGAAAAGCAGGGTCATTGTTCCAGATGGTAGAGACTTAGGAATTTAATTTTGTTTTGGAAAGACATTCATCGGGCTAATGGCTTTATCATCTGTGTTCTATTTATAAAAGCCATCAGTGGAATTACTCTTATAACAAATATTTTTTATTAGCACATTGGGAGTTTCTTGTATTGTTTTACTATGGAGTCCTGCCAATCATGCTGTAGCGAAAGTTTGATCATGACAGATTTCCTGTGAAATAAATAGCGACAGCATTACCACAGATTAAAGTGCGCACCCACAACCTCTTAAAAACATTTTCCATCCTACACTGCTTACAGCATGACATCCATTTGTACTTTCCAAGTGGAAAATAAAATTGTAAAAAAGTTTGCTTCATGCCTTTAAATTCCTTGTATGCAAACACCTGCATTTGCTGTACAGTAACAACAACAGGCTTAAGTCCTCAGAATAAGAAAAAAAAAGGAATAGGATCCCATAAGAAATCAAGACCACACTTCGAATAAATCCTTGATCGTTTAAAGTACGATCTCATACATTGTACAAACAGCAGGTCACTAAACTCGCACCTCAATCCTACAGCAGAGGCGTTGCTATCATGAGACAAGAGCTGCGATACCTCTGTGAACAGGAAGCATTTAGGGTTGCAATACTAAAACCGACACAAAACCCATCCGAGTGACCCTCAGCAGAGATGCCCAGGGAGCCGTCTCTGCCTTGGCCTAGAAAAAGTCAGTTCTTAATACTGGGAATCGAACTTGACATTACATCACTCAGCCAACACAAAACAGGAAGTCTCTATGTACTGGGAGCACCAGAGGGACCCCTGCCAGGCCAGCTCCAAATAAAATCCCCTGGAGTTCAGAACTCAACATCATCTCTCACCCTCAAACTGACACAACCACACATCAAACACTACAAACAGAATCTTTCCTTTCTGCATCATCTAGCAACCCCTTGAAGTAATCATTATCCCCCAGCTTCAATTTGGGTTTACTTTACAGTTTGTTCTGCTTTATTTTTGCTTCCCTGTGGTCTACCAGGATCTGCACCCTGGGTCTGGACTCACACACTCTCACACACCGGACCCCCTCAGCTGCAGGAGGGGCTCCCAAGTTTGGGGGAGGTGGGGGTGACGGGTAATTGTACAGGGCACAGGACACGATCTCACACCACACCGCCCTCCATTGCTTTTCTGCCTCTGGATTTGGGATTTTGGTTTGGCTGGAGACAAGGGGCCTCGATCTTCGTCCGACGCTACGGACAGAAACGACCTCGGCTCCCGGGGGTGCGAGGAGAGGAGCGGGTGAGGGGGTGAGCTTTACCTCTCGAGTGTGGCGAAGAGCCCGGCCTTCCCGCCCACGGCGCAGAGCACCTTGGGGGCGCAGCGGGGCCGCGTGGACAGCACGGTCTGGTAGGACAGCCGGTGCTCGGGCATGAAGTGGTACTTGAGCGCCTCGTTGAGCAGGTGCTTGCAGGCGTGGTCGTCGCGGATGAGGTGGTTGGCCTCGTACAGGCGGGTGAGGAACTTGACGCTGAGCAGGGGCAGGCGCACGCAGTGCAGCAGCTGGGCCAGGTACTGCTGCCTCTCCGTCACGTCGTATTTGATCCAGGACTCCAGCGCGTAGAACACCGTCTCCTCCGTCACCACGTTCAGGCAGTCGTTGGACACGATCTCGTCCAGCTCGGCCCGTGTCAGCTCGAAGAACTCCTCCGTTTGGCACACCTCCTCGAAGTTCTGGCAGATGAACTTGGTGGCAGCCAGGTAGAGGTCGTGGCAGCCGTAGGTCTCGGCGAAGCGGGAGATGCCTATGCAGTTGCCGGCATCCAGCTGGCTCTCCAGGAAGGCACAGCACTCCTTCAGCACCAGTTTCACCTGCAGCAGGTTGGCAGCCGGCAGCAGGGACTCCACTGTGTCCTGCGAGATGAACACTGTGCCAGTGTACGCATACTCTACAATGGCCTGCGAAGAGATAAGAGGGCATCATGAGTGCTGTCTACTCCACTGCCTCCATACAGTTTACACTGGTTGATACATTTCAAATAATAGCATCGGACTTACTGCATTTATGAACAGGCTGCTTAACCGCTTCATACCTGAACAATCAGTCTTTTGTTATGAATGCGATTCTAGGTTTGTGCAAATCAGCATTTTTAAAACGCAAAACAAAACAGCTGCACTGAAACCACAATAGCGTGAAAATCTTTGCGAAACCTCTCCCTGGTTTATTTTAAGGTATGTGCAGACCTTTGTTCCACAAAATGCTGGATAAGCAAACGCCGGCTCGCACGCACCTGCAGCGCGGCCTCGTCGATGCACTGGAACTCCACCTCCGAGTTCTCCTTCTCTGAAAGGTTGCCCGTGAACATGGCCTTGAAGTAGGGGCTGATGCTTGCAAGCACCACTTTGTGGGCGTGAATCTTGGCATCGCCGACCCGCAGGACCACGTCGCAGAGCTCGCGATGCTGCCGGAGGAGCTGCAGGCCCTGCAGGAGCTGCTCGGAGTGCGGCCGCGTCAGACTGGCAAGCATGTAGGACTGGGGTTGCTGGTCCATCTGCGGGTTGAGAACGGCAGAAAAAAAGCAGCACTGAGCTCCAGAGGCATAACCCATCTCTTTCTCAAGTGAAGTCGCATGCTCCCATATCAACACTGTGCAGAGTTCTGCTAAGACTCCCTTCTTTAGTGGTTATGATTTTGCTTACTAACTTCATTTCAAGGTAGTCCTTGCCGCCACTGCCAAACTAGTCAGCACCTATTAATTTTAATCACTCTATGCGATCAAGCAATCACCAACCCAATTCAATATGCTCAAAGACGGCAATACTGTAAAACACTTTAGCTTCTGTGATCTCATCTAGACTTGGGTGTGAATTTGAAAGAAAATGCAGGACATATTTTTAATGTAGTACGGGCATCTTTTTTTCAGACATTTGAATGCTTCATATTTCAAAACCAAAGAGGAAGAACTTGCTTGTGGTTGCCCAAGCTGTGATGCAAAGTACTGCTAAAATAAAAGTCTGACATAGCACTGTCTGTCCTTATTCAGTGTTGGAACCGGAAGCTTCCTGGATATAGCCGTCACCACTGGATTTATTTTTATTGGGATGACCAATGAGGCTCCAGAAAAACCAGGAACATTCAGACATATTAGGACATATTCGTTTTGAAGTTTATCTGAGACTACATGCACTGACACTTAAACCCACACTAAACTGAATGCTAATTACTTTGGAGCTAATTACTGATACTAAAATACTTGCTAAAAATAAAAACAATAAACAATCGGTATCAATAACCTGCTCCAGGGGTCTCCAACCCAGGACCTCGAGGTCTCCTTTCCAGCAAGTCTTGTTGGTCACCATTAAATCACCAAGATCTCCAGACCCAGAACAATTTAACTGTGACCACTTAAACAGGAGATTGAAGCAAAAATAGATAGCCTTCATCCCTCAGGGAACAGATCTCCTTTGATTAAACACATTACTTGCTTAATCAGTCAATGGCTTACAAGTATTCCTAATTAAAAACAACAGCTCATTTTAGGTTATTTGTAAGATAAACTGGATCGGGACTCTCTAGGAAGCCGGGTGGAGATCCCTGGACTGCTTCTGTTTCGCTTATATACAGTTTGCATTTCCATCTTTTACTGCTCCATGGAGAAGACTCCATGAAGACTCCATTCAACACCGCTAATGTAATTACAGGACTCCAAGAATACACGCCACTCTGCAAGAAATGCCAGGATTTCCTTTGAATAACTAACACTTGGCACAAAACAAATACCGCATCACTCCAGCTAAAATGAGACTTTCTGCACCATTCTTAACTCTCCTGGGTCTCAATTCACCTTCAAAGTTTCCTTTCAGAATATTAACCGAGTTTCTGTGGAAAAAAAAAAAGTTGGTGTCCTGCAGGTGAGTGAAACCTGCTCTCGGCCATGCGTGCTCCGTTTCTGCTATAATCCTCCGGAGTTCTAGTCCTGGGCAACATATCCCTGCTGGCCTTTTTACTCCACAACAGACTCATCACACAACTGCTGATTCTACTAATTAAGATTGGGAAAACAACTCATAACCCCACCCTCCAGCGGACACACACGTTTCTAACTTTGCGCGGTTACTTGGACATGTATCCTACTTGTACTAGCAGACAGCCATTACGTTTCAAAGCGTGCTGCAAGTGACTGCATTTCCTATTAGAATGAGTTTTGCTGTAAGCAAACAGCAAGAAAGCCAACAGGACAGTTTCACTGCAGAAGACAAGTTCACAAAATATCGAACTGATCCAATCTCAATGTGCCAGGGTAGGGGCTTGGTAAACACAAACTCAATCAAATGACTGACTATGCAAATAGTGGCACACCGATTACATTAAACCTGAATTTTTAGGATTCAGAAAATAACATGGGAACCTATAATGTTTCAACCCCTGTGATTCGTAACACCTTAACAATGCAAATAAAAATGTTTAAAATCACTCTTAGGCGTCACAGTAGCACAGTAGTTAGCACTGCTCATTTCCTGGGGTGCTATATGGAGTTTGCATGGTCTCTCCAGGTTCACAGGGGTTTTGCACTCCGGTTTCCTCTCACAGTGTAAAAATATACGGACTTTAGGTCAGTAAGGTTTTGATTGTTTCACACTCTTGCTTTTTGGTTTGGGGAACATGTCAGAATCCAATGAGGCCGGTTAGCTCAGTTGGTTAGAGTGTGGCGCTAATAACGCCAAGATTGCAGGACCGATCCCCATATAGGCCAGGAGAGGTCAGTAAGGTAGGTTGACTAGTAGGTTAATTGGCTTCTGGGAAACCTGGCCTTGGTGTGAGTGCATGTCTGTGCCCTGCGATGGACTGGCGTCCTGTCCAGGGTGTCTCCTGCCTTGTGCCCGTTGCTTGCTGGGATAGGCTCCAGCTCCCTATCCCGTACGGGACAAAACGGTTAGGAAATGGGATGGGTTGAAAATTAACTCGGCGATGGTGTCACTCTACTTTTAAAAAGCCCTACAACTCCATACCATGCTAGTCACTTAATATTTTTTAAAAACTACAGTTAGTAAAATTTCCCGTCTGCTGACATTTAAATCTTACCTCAACAGGACGTAACACTTATCATAAGGCAAACCTTCATCGTAGTACAGACTGTGTCTCGGTTTATCGCAGTTAATGGGGTTTGGTGGGAAAGCTGGGAATACTTTAGAGAGGATGACATTCTGACACAAGCGGGCACTCGTGAAACAAGATTACATTATTATTTGTCGTCACTGCTGCTCTTGTTATGGGAACGTGGTATTCAGACTTTGAGATGTTCTTCGCTTGTCAAGGCTAATTGCAAACTGTTCTTAATGTAAAGGGGAAAGTAAATGCTTACTGCTAGGATGTTAATACATTAAATAAAGAACATTCTCCCGTCTGCCCCGGTGAAGAGTTGCCAATATTTATACATCGACACAACTGTGTTGAAAACATCACTTTCACTGTCTGTGTCCCGGTAAGCAGCTCGTTCCGGGAACCGAAGAGATCCTACTGAAATTAAAAACCAATTATAAACACCGCCCTGAGGTAACTCATGCAAAGTCTCATCATTCCAGTCATTCGTATCACTGCTTCCACGGTTACCTTAGTAGATCACCTGCCTGCACATGTTGAGGAAATACTTATATTACACTGATCGGAGAGTATTAAAGATACTTCGCTTAAACGGAAGTACAGTTTATAAATGCGAGTACCGTGTAGTTAAAACTGGAGTATCTAAATCACTCTTAAGGGGGTAAGACGTTGCAGTTTTTCTCTCTGATTTTATTTTCTAACCGATTTATGAACATGACAAGCGTCCCGAAATGCAAACCGTTTGCACCAATCACAAAATCCTATCAGGGTCTACCACTGGGCCTTCAGTGTGAGAGAACTAATGTTTCACTCGAGCAGTACCGCTACCATAAAAAAATAAATAAATAAACGACACCCCAGCTTTCTTCGCTCGACTGAATTTTTTTTTTTAAAAAGCCGAATTTTCATGACGGCGGCGCGCACATCTCTAAATGCCCCAACAGACGTCATGCAGTCACACTGAAACAACCCGAGCATGTCGGTGCCTCAGAACAACGTACCTGTTTTCCGCTTCTGATGCGCCGCCGACCGGAATCTATTTTTGTTGGAGTGGCGGAGGTGAACCCAGCAGCGGCAGGAACCCCGAGCGCCTGTCAAAGAAACAAACACAAAAACAGGTTGGGCCTGCGCAACTTCCGGCAGCGGTGCGATAACAGAGGGAAATAGATATCTTTTTTTTGTCCTCTCTCTCTCGCACAGTTAAAACGTCGCCGCACGTACGGCCGGCCCTATTACACAGCGACGGCTGTGCCGACCGCCTAGTGCCCTTACCGTTCGCGCATTTAGCCAGCAGCAGCAGCAGCAACCGCCTCGACAGCCCTAGCTAGCTAGCTCGCTCGTTTCGTGTTACGCAGCGTCCTTCCTCCCTCTCCCGTTCAGCCTCGCCTGTTACCACGCCAACAGCCTCCTGGAAAGAGACTACAACACCCACAGTGCTCAGAAGACAAACGTCACCTAGCAGGCGCGTCGCGGGCTTTTCTAGACGAAAACGGACATTGGCGAGGCTGGGGGTGCTTGACGCGACCATATTTAGATAAATGGAGATCAGAGGAAGAGCTTATTTTTTTCTTAATTCTGCTGCTGTCTCCCTTCCCTGATTTACGTTGTTTTTTTAAAAAATAACAGTCCTTTGATAACTTTTCTGCACACCCCCACAGTTGCCACCAACACATAGTCCCCCCAGATTAGATTTCCTCCAATGTTGAAAAAAGTTAAATAGAGATCTCTGAAGGTGTAAACTTGTTAATAGAATTTCAAAACACTGATAATAATGCCCTGTATGTTGCTACATAATTTACTTTGTTTCCTTCATAACGTCAGGCCACTCATTGTCAAAAATACAAAAGTTTAGGGTCCTGGCTTGAATCTATAGCACATGTACTGACTTGAACGGACAGTAAAACCTAAAGGTTAAAAATGAATATAAGGGGTGTTATAGATTTAAAACACTTGAAATAATATCTCAGATTTTATCTCCATCATGAGGAACCAATAGCTTTTCAAAATGCTACAGTATGCAGTGCCTACAGTGCAGCTACTGTAGTATGTGATAAAGTGATGGTTTGTAGTCCTCTGTCAGATATCGAAACCTGAATTAATAATCGAAAGAGGAGGTAAATGTTCTTGATAATAGTGTATTTCTACTCTCATCCCTTCACTGTTCTTTGACCACCTGCAGCTCAAGGCTAGCTTCTCACCCTGACTTATGTGCCCTAAGGTATGTGTCTTCAGGGCACATACTTCACAAACGCACATAGGTCTGTCTTGAATCTCACTTGTTGAAACCAGACATAAAAACAACGGGCTTTGAAACACATACACTTGGTCACAACTGATGTCTGACCCAGGAAGCGCACTAACTACATGTTATTTAACTTAGGTCTGAAGGCCTATGCGAACAACAAGAGTGATACATTCCAAAAGCTCTGCGACACTGTTCCCCATCGTCTGTGATGATGCTGAGGATCAAAACAATTTCCACGAGAAAATTAATTGCGGAAAAAGGCCAAGTATCAGACAATTTATTGTCTTATGTTTACCACATCGATTTTCCTTACTCTGGTCAATTTCTGTATAAATTTGCCATATGTCAAAAACATGCATTTGGACTCATCTTGTATGTAAGAAGAGGCACACAAATTCGATTGTTTCTGGATTTGTTAAGTACTGTATGGGTTGCGTAGAGGACAACTGTTGTGGCCAGAGACTGGACACTGGCCGTTAGTGAACTGGAATCGGGGACCGGTCACTCAGCCGCGTTCTGGGTTTAAATAAACGACGGGAACCAACATTCGAATTAACGGTCGCAGCTCAACAGTTTTTTACTTTCAGGTTAGTAACCTTTTTTTTTTTGCTACGAATAAAATTCATGCGTTTGTCCGCGATACATGTTTTTAAATGATTTTTTAGTTTAGGATTGCGCACAGTTTTCCAGTGACCATACTAACAGTGTGACGTTTAAATTACAAATAAGATTTTGGATGCTGGAAGTTCTTTTCATCATTATCGTAATATTGCGTTACTCGAGTCGATTAACAGAGGGTAACAAAGGCACACAAACGGAGTCTCCTCTTAATCTTATTTAATTTACAGTTATGACTACCCTATCCATACCATACGGACTTTCTAACAATAAAAACACAATGCTCACATCACAGTTAAATTCTAATTTTACAAAAGTGCCCATTATTTAAGGCACGCACAAACAGCTAATGATTCAGTGAATTATCTAAAATTCAATATACGTTTTGTAGCAATCTCTTTGTGTATGGCAGTACACTCTCTAATTTTATTAATTTTATTAATCAATCATATCAGTCATATATTGTGATAAGATGAAAGCACTGTACGACTAAATGTGTAAAAATATAGAAATTGCCCACAATATTAGCCAGAACTACATTTCCCATAATAACTAAGACCCGATGCAACTGCACTTCCTGGTAAATCTGACCTTAGCGTCACCATGGAAGCGTCCCGTTTGTTCACGTGACAACTATGGATACGTCCCCACGGCCATTTTGGTGTGATCTTATTACCTAGTGATGGGGCTGCAGCTACGGGATAGCAACAGAGCAGCTCCAGCGCTTTTGTTTCATTTACATACAGTAAAGATTACAGCGCGTCTTCAAGAGAAGGAAGAGCATCTTTAACTTTGAAGACTGAATTTGAAATTCAGATTATACTAAAGAATCGCCAGCGGCATACAAGGAGAAACGGTTTGAATTGCCTTTCAAATACTGAAGAGTGGTGTTTTTCATTAAGTCCTGTTATTGTGTAGCGATTGTTACTCTTGGGTTAAAGCAGGCAGACGAAAAAGCGATGATGCTGCTATGCTTGCCATGCTCGTTCTTGTGAGTTTGTAGAGGAAAATCCAAAATCCAAAATAATTAGCGATTAAAATGGAAACACTTGGAGCAACTGCGAAAAAAATGACTGATTCTCCGGTGACTTCATGACAAATCAGGAGGAAAACGGGAATACGCTACTAGCTTCAGCGCCGCCGTCCGCCAAATTCAGCCCACGTCCTGCGATCTGTTGGCCTTAAAAAACCAAAATCGGTTTTCCAAAAGGAAATGATGACATTCTTCAACTTTTAGTCGGTTCTACTGTACGTATGCGCTCCGACGCTATCAAGTCAAACAGAGCACACCCCCGAGATAAAAGCTGTACTGGTGTAGAGGAATAAAACAAACGTGTTGAACTCTCCGGCTGATGCTTTTCAGAAATAGCGGGGAGAAGAAGTCCGATATCACCGTGAACCGCTCGTGTTGGATACAGTTCCGATCCCGAAGGATGAGCTGGGTGGCTTGATGTTGGATGTGTTGCCAGGGATCGTGCGCCAGCTGAATGGTGCAAACACCAAGATCCTGAGCAGACTGTGTAAATGTGGCAAATACAGTCACAGCCGCGTCGAGATTTTCTCAGCTCTCGCCACACACGGACTGGCAAACAGCAGAGCCCGTGTAAGGAAGTCAAGGTTTGAAAATCTGTCCTTTCTCGCAACATCGCGACAGAGCGTCGGGCTTTTTTTTTTAAACTTAACATGTTGGATCGCTCAATAAAAAATTGATCCGCTGCGGAGAGAGAGGGGGAGGGCGATTCTGTTCTGGCATTCACCGCCTTGGAGCTCATTAGGTCGGGAAACGACAATCCAGTGCTTATTATCTAGCTGCTGCCAGCATCGCTGAGGAGGATCTAGCCACTAGCGCGTCGCTGAATCCTGTTCCAGATGGGTGTCTCAGCAGCGAGCGACAGCATCCGCAGCAAGATGCTGAGACGGGGCGTCCAAGACCGCATCTCTTCGCAGAGAAGCAGTAAAGGCTTTTAAAACATACCCGTTTATTCCCCTCACTAGTCTGAGGTCCAACCAAAATGAAGTTTGGAATGATTCCTCACGGCCTACACGAGCAGCTTCTGGACCACAGTAACTACCAGAGCAGGACCCACGGGGTTGAGGAGCTGAAGAACATTCTTTACGACTCGGACTTGACCTCCGTGCCCCCTGAAAACATTGTCGATTTTATCGGTTTCTTGCGGAGGCTACTGGATGACACCAACTTCAAAGTTCTGTACGGTACCTTGGAAGTCCTCAATCTGCTGCTTGTCAAACTGGGCTACCACGCGGAGTTGTACGTTGAAAATATCGTTCACGCCGCCGTCAAAGTCCTGGGGGATACCCGCACGGTGACCAGGCACGAGTACATCAAAGTTTACATGCAGATGATGCGGGTTGTGAGGCCGCAGATTGTGCTGGATTTTATGATGGGGCAACTCAAGCACAAGAACTCTCGAGTCAGGGAGGATGTCATCAATATCATCACAGCCTCCATTCTGACCCACCCGAGAGGGGGCTTCGACATAGACAGGCTGTGCTACGCCGTGGCGCCCTGTCTGGCGGACAGCAAACGGAAAGTCCGGCACGCAGCCCTGGAGCTCTTCGCCGTGTTTGCCTCCTACTTGGGCACTGGCAAAATGCAGCCTCTGGTGAAGGCTGTGGACGAGGTGGAGCTAAAAGGAGAGGTGGAGGGTTTGATGGCGGCTGTACAAGCCCGGATAGCCAGGCACATCCTTCCCAAGCTGACCCCCGATGGGACTGTGGAGTATGCCATGACCATCCCAAAGCCGGGCCAGCGGCGGGGACCCCAGTTCGGGTCCGGGGCCGATCTGGAGTGGGTGATCGGCGGGGGGCGCATTCAGAGCGCGCAGAGTCACCGATCGGAGTCGGATTCTGAACCGCCGTCTGGTTACGGGAGTCCCGGCTCCTACCTTGACGAGACCCCGGCGCACAGAAGGGTCCTCAGCGCCGGCAAAGGGAAAAACAAGCTGCCGTGGGAAATGGAAGGCCTTCCCGCGGCGAGGACGTCCCCGCAGGTCAAGACCCCCGGCAGGAAGGTGGGTTTCTCCTGTAGGCGTCGTCAGTATGTTTGATGCATGCGAAAGTTGACCTGAGTGACGTTGGAGCAGAAAAAGAGAGGAAACGAGACAGTATCAGGAGCAGGACCAGCGATGTCTCGAGAGCTCTTGAATCCAATCCCATGTTGTCAGATACAATCTGCTCTTCATGTTTGCAGCCGTTTTGCAGTGGTATAATTAAAACAGCCTCTGAAAAGAAAGAAACCAGAAATGGTGTCTCTCAAATTAAAGAATTAAGATATGCAATTGATTAAGTAATTTAGTAATTTTTGTCTTCATCATGGGATAACAGTGAATCTGGAGAATGTACAGTAACTGTAATTGATGTCATATTGTAATGCATTGCAGTGGCATTATTATGGTTTCTGTTAACTTTGCTTGTTTTTTCACCTTGAATCTTTTCCTAAACCATCAGGGTGTGTCATCAGGGTGGCAGTTGGTTAATTGGCTTCTGGGAACACTGGCCTTGGTGCGATGGACTGGCATACTGTCCAGGGGGTGCTACTTGCTGGGATAGGCTTCAGCTCCCCTGTAACCCTGAACTGGATAAGGTGGTTAGAAAATGGATGGATGTACAGTATGGCATGAGATGTTATGGTTTTAGGTCTTTGACGCAACAGCACTAAAACCAGTCAATCAATATTCATTAAATCAGTCAGATTGCAGTCAGAGCTAATCATTAATCTGTTCAGCCATTTATTAAATCAGCTGTGCAATTTGCTAGTAATTTCATTATTAACCAGTGAATCAGCTCAGTTTATAAGCCAGGAGGACACTTAAACAGTCAGCCATTTAATTGCTATGTATTTATGGGAAAAAAGATTCATACCAATAAATTATCAATTTTAATAAATTGTTTATTAATTAATGTATTCAATTAATAAACAATTGAATAAATCAGTTATTCAATAATTTAGCCATACACCTAATCAGTTTAATAATCAATAAAACAGTTATTTAATCATCCATCATTGAATTGTCTTATTATGGTTTGTATAATCAGTCAGTTATTTAATCAGACAGCTTTTTAATAAATCAATTGTTTTATCCGTTTTAAAATGTTGGCATTAGTCAAATGTTTAGTTAGTTGATTAGCCATTTAGGTAACCAATACAGCTTGCAATTAATCATCATTAATTGTTAGGCAATCAGCATCAGGTGTCATAGATTCATGGTACATTATTTCCTGGCAATTTTCTTATCAGATTACCAGACCAGTAAATGCTGTGCTTTCTGTAATAATCCTACATTTCTATATATTTATGAACACATATTGTTTTTAATGTTATATCTTTAGACAAGCAGATTGTAAATGAAAAATGTAACTTTTAACAATAATAAAAACAACAAGAACATTAATGTAACAAGACACACAGTTGTTGTAAGAACCTTATTTTTCAATGAAAAATTTACAACACAAGACTGTTATAATTCAATAATCTCAACCTCATCTAATTGTGTTCCTTGATGTAGTTTTAAAGGGGCTTTGATTTTGAACTGTGTATCATTTGTTTAATGACAGTCTATGTCTTGCATCTCACATATAGCTTGCAGTGTACCTATCCTACAAGCTTTTTTATATCTTCTTGTTTGGATGTGGTATCTAGGGAGCAGTTGGACATAATCTACACTCCATGCAGCGCATGGCTCATATAACGTTCAGGCAGGTATATTTAAAGCAAGGTGATGACTCTTTGATTAAATTAGGAAAATGGTAAAGCCTATTAAATAAAACAGCTGTATGTATATTTGCAAGTTTAAAGTTGGGGAGGCTATTTGTGGAGGATAACCTTGGTGGTTTGATTTGGTGTGTGAATAAGCTGCAGTACAGTTAGTTCAGTAAGTTTCCAAGGTACTGGGCATCTGCCTGTTTTGCTGATGTTTTATATTGAAATGCTCTTTGTAATATGTTGAGATCACATTACACCCCAATTTAGTAAGAAGACAATTCCTTCAGGATTTTTTCTTAACTTTCTTCCTGTCTCAAATGAACAGGCCATTCATTAGTATTGTCAAGGATCTCTGTTAAAAATATAAGTAAAGAGCCTTGATACTTTACTACTCCAGAAAAAAAGTCTGTTTTTGAGGCAGAGTTTAGCACTCTCTCCTTCTGTTGTCACATTTCAGGCTTCTTCTGGGAATACTGCACATTTTTATATTAGTGACATACCTTATCATTTCAGTTCACACAAGTGCTGTTGTTTCCTGTATCATTTAATTGTAGGGTCTGCTCTGTGTCATATGTTCATGTAAATGAGCTGTAATCCTGCAATTGAAATGTCTCCTGGTTGTGTTTGTTTGCTGCAGTGTGTGCTTTGAAAGCTATAGACTGATTGCTAAGGGCTGGCTGATGACTCACTCTTGAAATATTGAATGCATATATTTAGCTTTTCCCAGCTATGCAAAGCTCAAAGTAAGGCAGCTCAATGCATGTATTTTTGGAAGAGTTGCTCTGTTCTGTGTTCTGACAACAAGGCGTGCTTGGGATAGTGTGGTAAACCCACAGTGTTTTCTGTGATAAACCACAGTGTTTTCGACTTCAGATTCTTTTTTCTAGGGCTCTGATCAGGGTGCATAGGATCAACTGAATAGCGTGCTGCAGTACTACCTGCCTGGGAGCTTGTACAGACTGGCCTCCCATTACTTTGAAAAAGCCCTTCATCTCTGGTTGAACCAGACCAGTTCCAAAAACTTCCAACACCACTTGTACTTCATTAGGAAATGAAGGCTTTTCTGTCATTACAGTATTTTTCTGTAAGCAAGGACAGAAACATAGGGCTGGACTATTTACAAGGTTCTGTCAACATAAGACCCACTGTTTATTCACAATCCTAACTGAGATCACCGAGAGTTAATGTAATCAGACAGGAAGGATATAATTAATAAGGGGCTGGTAAGTGATAAGCCCACACAATGTTTTCTGGTGATCTCACCTCAGAGCACAGGCTACAGTATCTTCCTACCCCAGTGTTCAGTCTCTGGTGCCTGACCAGAGATGAGCTTCAGACATGGGCCCCACTGGCTCGCTTGTTGGAGGAGATACACTACACCCAGCTTTGACAAGACAACTTGCTCATTCATAATTGAATGCTGCCTTTTGAAAGTCAGTACATAGCAGTAAAGGAATAGGAATGATTTGTAAAAATGCCACAGGTAACGAAAGCATGCTGCAGCTTAATTTTCCACTCTACATTATTCCTGACGCTCAGTGGTGTTGGCATTCAAGGCCGAAGGATACTTTCCAGCATTTATCTTGGGCAAAAGCAGCAGAGGCTGATTGCGAATACATTTTTCTGCCGTTGCTATGATACAGTGAATGCTTTAGAGCAGAGGGGGAGATTGCAGTTGCCCCCCCCACTGGAATGAGTCAGACCCAGGTGAAACTGGCAGTGTGCTGGAGGCGATTGCTGATTAAAGTAAAACAGGAAACTAACATCTGTGCTTTCATACCTGGGCAAGGTGCTTCGAATGGAGCTCATGTGCGGTGAAGACTAGTCCTTGAAAACACTTAGAATATAATCAGTCATTATAGCTGTGGGCGTGGGAGTAGGGAAATCGACAGACTTTGAATTTATATAAAGATTGCAGCTGAAATAAAATCTTGTACAAGAAAGTTATAACACTGCAGATTTTGGAGCACTATTCTGACAGCCTCGTGAGGGTTCATAGGCAGGCTCCAGCACAGCTTAGTGTCAGTTTTCTTTTTTACGATGATGGACTTGCACTGTTTCAGTGAGTGGGGTAGCGAGCCATGTCTGAGGATTGAATGTAATTCAAGAAAGGATTTGGCACCGTGGCCAGCCCACTCTTAATTGTACACCCCATTCTTTTTTGACTGGGGGACCCGGGACATACAGCATGACTGAAGATGTTTATCAGGGAGTCAGACAGCCTTTGCTCACTATATCTCCCTAATGGATTAAACTCCGAGCTTTCTTCAACTTCGGAAGTGCTGTTAATCCCTCACTAAGAAACCTTACTCCTGGTGCTGCTGTGTTGACTGCCCTTGGTGATCGGCTTTGGGGAAATACAGTTCATGGAGATGAAGATGCCACTTTAACTTACTGCACTGATCTGTTGAACAGTGATCTCTGATCCAGGATTCACAAATTCACAAAGTCAACAAATTCACAAATTCAAAAAACAACATATTGCCCTTGTTTCCTTTGGCTTGTCAGAATATTTATATGACTGTTTTTCATTTTCTCAATTTCTCCATTATCAATTACTTCATTTCTCAATTATCTTTGTGTTTTATCTTATTGTTGTCTCATTTGAACTAAGATTTTTGTTTCTAAAATGGACATAAATGGAACTATATGACTGGGTAATCTGAGCATTGTGGGTTCTTCTCATGTAATTAACACTTCCATTCAAATCCTTATTATCTAATCTCACTGATTGGATATTTTATAATTGTTTTATGACTGACGTAAGTTTTCATAATCAGATCTGAGAGATACTCCAATAAATCAAGTGCTGGCAAGCCTTCGGTGCCCAAGCTAATCAGTATGCAGGTACAAATACAGCTCTGTGGTATATTATGTTTCTGTGTGTTCCTCTAGTTACATACAGTACAAGTGCTATTTTCTGAAGATGAGCTGGGATCATGTTTCCCAATAAATCCTGATGACTATGATAGACTGTGCTGTGAAAACAGGAGTGAGGACTGTGATAGATTTGAAAGAGTGCCACGGTGCAGTTTTCATCACAGGTGTAGTACATAAATAACCAATATTTTCTTCTTCTGCTGGGGGTAGTGCAGTGTGATTACCCTGTAAAATAAAACGGTTGTTAAAAGCTCTTATTAAAAATTTGTGTGGCGGTGTGCCTGCTGTATTGGATTACAGTCCAATTAGTTGTAGTGTATTTGAATGAGTGACCTAGTTTAGCATTGGAAACCTAACAGACGTGATCTTTGTATCAGTTCTTTGTGGGGTCACACAGTAACAATGGTTCCGGGTTTCCCTCCTTGGCTTCTATTGCACTGGTTCTTTTGTGTATTTTTACATCTTCAGGTAGTTTTGGTTTTTAAATAGAGGTTGCCTATGTAAGATTGTTTTGTACAGGTAAAAGACCTCTGTTGTTAACTACTGTTAGGGTTAGGTTATAGGCTTTCAACATAGAATTTCAATATTTTACCTGTAAAATTCCATTTCATTACTATGGTGATTGTGGGAATTTGGATATCTTTGTGTTACTGAAGTAATCTTTTTCTAACTTGATATAAGCAGCACCTCACAGTTACCATCCTACTGGAATAGGATTTTTTGTACTGTATATTTTAGCGTTCCTGCTCAACTGCCAGACCTGAAAAAACCTATAAAGCTTTGCTTTGTGCCCAGAAGACCCCACCTCTATGTTTCATTTCCTTTTTATTTATATACAAATGTCCTGAGGATTCTAATTTCTTTTACAGTGGAGTAGTGCATGCAAAGGCTTTCGAAGGCCATGGACTGTTTATTACAGCTGCTACCTATATGTAAGAAATAGTTCATTTGTATAGATCAGCGTGTCATCCTTTCTCCTTTCTCATTGATAAGTTTTTGTTACTTTTGGACACCAAGTGTTCCTGTCTGGTACGTACTCCAGTGCCACCTGAGGGCTGATAACTCAGGCACAGCTTGTTATAAGTGCTTCGATTGTTATGAGAATTGGGGAATTGTCCGACTTCCAGCAATAACCCAGCCTGTGATTCTTTTTTTAAAATCAAAACTACTGTAAAGCCTCTTTCTTCCCACTGTGAATGGATTAATTAGAGAGAGAGGACCCTATCAGTGGGCCATTACACACTTGTTTGCTTAGGTCCAGGAGATTTGTCACCAAACATTCAATTACTAAGAACCACAGGGAAAATCTCACCTTCTCTATGGAGTTGTTCTATTTTGGGATGGACAGTGTGAAGTTTTCTTTTTCTGCCTAATTGGTATTGTTCAAATCACAGAAGGCTCTGAATACATTTTAAATGTAACGAGACAGCTGTTTTGAAATGCAGGCACATCGTAATATTTAATGCTGTGTTTCTTGTATTTCTTACTATATGTGTTGAGCCTAGTGCAGTTTTAAAAAAACAAATTAGAAATGTGGGGATTGAACCTTTTCTTGCAGATGCTGAGGAATGAGTAGAAACAAGGTTTAGGCCCTGGTCAGAGGGAACTATGCTCAATGATGACTTCTGTGGCCCACCGTGCTCTTCAGATGAAAACATGGAGGGTTTCTAGGTTTCTTTTAAAATGCTGAAGACTTGGGGAAAAAAGTCAATTTTTGACCACTTAAGCTACCATTTAAGTTCCACTTGCAAATATCAACATTCTTTAATCACTGATAAACTGGGTTATCATAACAAATATACCTTCCTTTTTAAAAAGTAATATGTGCTTGTCATTTTAAAGTATTCATATTCATTCATATTAATAAAAAGTTAATGTAAAACAACTTCATTCAATCCTGCGATAGGCATTTTGTACAAAGAGACAGCAGTAACTACATGTTTGCAGTAACTACAGCAGCCCCACCATGTCTCCAAGCAACACAACTCGTCAACAGCACTTCTTTAGAACAGCTGTAAATGTTACACAATTGGAATGCTTGGGCCTCTCCAGGTTTTGCTGCATCCTGGCTTATATAAATTGTTTAACAAGCTGTGGGACAGAAAGAGTCCTAGCTAGTCTAGTTGTTTGTCATTTTGTTTTATTCAGGTGAAGTTAATATTCTCCCGAACAGCATCTACAAATATGTGCATAACATACTAACTGTTGTTGTGGTACTTGATGTTATTACTGAGCATACATGGGCAACATTACAGCCCATAGAGACCAATTTGATGAATCATCTGTCTTCATTGTTACTATTTTAATGAAAGCAGTAAATCAGTCCTCAGGTTCCTCTACTCTGATGAGGTAAAAGGGGTGAGGAACCCCGTAAAGAACAGCTCAGTTTGAAAAGAGTCTTGTATGGAAGGGTCATTTCATTGTACATTTTAAATATCTAACATTATGCTGATATCACTGCCTATTGTACTCTCTTACTCTTTTTCTGTAAAATGCATTTATATAATGTATACAATCAACAAGGTTAAAATACAGGGAATCAATTATATTGACAAGAAAAGTCATGTATAGTCTGGATACTCACGGTATCTATCAGTACTATGAATGAACACTAAGAGTTTCCTTGTTGCTGCTTTGCAGATTTCCAGTGAAGATCCCCAGTCTCCCAAACTGAGTGGCTCCTCTAAGATGCCAGTTAAGGAAGACCTGCACTTTACTGGAAAGTTGAATAACAATCAGGAAATCACAAACAATTTCAAACGCTCTGGTAACTTGATTTTTTTTTCTGGACTATAAATTTGAGTGTGAAAGAATGTTCCTTTTGAGACAGAAGTATTACATCTATAAATTATGGAGTTGAAAAAATATACAGGAAGTCCATCTTTCTGCTGTGCTGGACAGTTTTTCTAATACTGGAACCATGTGAAGAGATGATTGTGTTTCAGCAGAGCACGTAGTTTACAGTATGTCCAGATTCAATCCATACTCGGTAGTTAATTGTTCAGATCTGTTTGCTGGAGGCTTTTTGGGATAATTGATTAATTGATCTCATGCAGGTCTGTACAGAAATGTTTTTAATCTTCCCTCCTCTTGTTTGCTGAAAAAGGCATGTATGTCATGCAGCATATGTTGGCTGGGCTGTGGGAGATGCTGGGAGTGCAGATAATTGGAATTGGGACTAAGTAAGTGATGATGTTTTGATTGGATTAACCTGATTTAATCCAGATAACCAGCATGGCCTGACTTGGTGTTTGGATGAAGGTTGCAAATTTCCTGGTGTTTAACTCCCCCATCCCTGGCTGTTTCTACACCCAACCATTAATGAGAGCACAACAGCTTGCTCAGAAGGCATCGCCCTTTCAGTTGGGAAGTAGTCTTCCACTCCACTTTATTTACTGATCACTGCAAGAAAGTAACAAGAGGTAGAAAACAGAATAATTAAATGAATTAAAAAACCTAACTATTAGGTGCCAATTATGTTGAAGTACAGGGAGATCTATTAGAGATCTCCTAGTTTCTGTCACTAGAGATGTAAAATCCCCATGGTGCCAATTAAGGAAGTGCAAACATCCTGCACACTAACCCCACTGTGAGCTGAATTTCTTGGAAAAATCATACTAACATGTACAACTTTTGTTGTGTTTACTTGAATCTCAATTGGACATTTGTAAATAGTGTCTAACATGCATATTTTAAAAAGGGACAGACCTGGTTTAAGGATGTTTTCTTTAAGTACATTATTAATGAGGTAATGTTATTACCTCAGCTAGTGCTTACACTATGCATACATTGGCATTTGAAGACACACAGAGCTAAATGTGTTGCATCAGGCTGCTTATCAAATTTGAACGTTCACCCTGCAAAAACACTTGGGATAGGTATGAGAATAGCTCACCAGTGGGGCCTGTGGGGCCAGAAATCGCTTTAATAACTGAGGATATGTAGCTTTTAACAATTACAGCACACATATGACCTTATACACTTGTATCTCTTCCCAGTGGGAGGGAGTTTGTTTGATGTTTTCTTGGCTTGGTGTTTTTTCATTTTCAGGTGGCTACAGTTCCACTGCAGTGCAGAGCTTCTTTTAATCCTAGTAATGGATTCATTTCGAGGGGATGCAGGGGGTGTACAGATGCAGATTGCCAGGTGCTAAAAAAGTCCAAAAGTGGTGTTTTCTCTAGGTTCATGGGAAAGAGGCCCCTTTCCTGCAGGTGAACCCATTTGTCCTAGATTTATGTCAGTCCATGGTTTGTTACTAGTTGATGTTCCTGAAGTGTGTGTTGTTTACTGTCAGCATATTGGGACAGTTCAAAGAATAGATAATCAGAAAAATTAGCTTCACTGATTCTATTTGAATAGGTTCTGTAATTAAGTGCCCCAGACTGTCATTGAAGTAGACAACCAGAACCATGTGGCGTAATCTTGAAATTAAATTTGTTATTCCATCTGTTCATCAGAAAGCCACTTGTTCCATTTCTTATTCCAAAGATTTAGAAGTAATCTGTACTACATCCCACTGGGAGCACTACAGCTACTGTGGAAATCCCGAGTTCAGGAGGATGATTATTTTTCACCTTCACTCGCAGAATTACAAATTGCCTTTGAAGTACCAAATGGTAAGAGTCTTATACAACAGTTCTCACGAGGAGAGCTCAGCTTTGATTTGAGGTACAGTGAAACAGAACTGCTGTGAAATGCAAATGTCAAATGTTCTGTACTTTTCACAGTAAAGGAGGTGCAGAAGTGCCTTAGAAATCAATGCAGTGATTGCTTTTTGATGTGAGTCAGGAAAGGCAGTGAGTTTTTCCACTATCACTGATATGTTGGGTATAGTGCCCTGCAAAAGTATTCAAACCCTTCCTATGCCGTCCCATTTTGTGAAATTAAACTTAATATTTTATTAAAAATTGAAGGCTCAGGATGATTATACTTAGCATTATAATCTAAGTAACGGTCAGTAAATTATTTTGATGATGTAAGTAAGTATTTAGATCCATTATCTCATTATGTGGCGAAAGCCAATAATGCAGCTGTAAACCAATTACAGCTGCAGTTCTTTTTTAGTCTAAGTCTCTACTAACTTTGCATGTCAACCTGGTGCAATTTTTGCCCATTCTTCTTGTCTTATGAACATCGGATGTCAAGGCGTTCCACAGAATCTCTGTAGGATTCAAGTCAAGACTTTGAGTGGAGCACTTAGTGTTAAACCAGCTACAGATTAGGTTAAGTCTTGTGCTTTAGATCATTGTCCTATTACAAGTTGAATTTCTAGGTCCCAGCTTTAAGTCTGAAGCAGGTTGTTCTGTAAGATTTGAGAGTAATTTGCTCATCTACGTTCCCATCAGTATTGACAAGCTTCCTGGTCCATGCTGATCAGAAGCAGAACTATTATCATAATGCTGTCACCATCATGCTTAACAGTAAGGAGTGTGTTTACTGAGTGTTCCACTATAGTGGGTTTGCATGTGATATGACACTTTCCGTTTAAACCAAGCTCTTTCAGTTTCGTCTTAGTTGATCATAAAACCTTTTGTCAGATTTGCAGTAGCACTTAGTTACGTTGTTGCAAACCCCATGCAGGATTTGCAATATTTTTTTGGTTCCATATAACCCCCTTTGTGGAGTGACGCTGCCTAGCTACTCAGTTTGGAAGGACAGCCTGGTTTAGTCAGTGTCTGGGTATCTTTGACTTCTTAACGATCAATGCCATCAAACCCAAAGAATATATGAAGGGTTTTTCAACTATTCTTACTCTTCTTCTGGTATGTGCCTTTATGGAACTCTTTCCCTGAGTAGTCCTGAAACCTCCATGTTTTTTATGGTTGAATCTTTGATTGACAGACACTGTTTGACCAAGGAACCTCACAAAGACAGACTGGCATCACTCAGCTAACTGCTGCTTTCTTTTTGTTTTGTACTCTGAATGTGTGGAGGAGGTTGCAAATATACCAAAAATTAAGTTGTACTTCAAAATGTCATGACAACAAGCTTTAAAACAACAAAATGTGAAAGCTGTGCGCAAGGATATCGCAAGGATATAAGGTACAGTATATGCATGAGAATCATTTTTGTGTGATTTAGAACTCCGATTTAAACCAGATATTTATGACTTCTTTTTGTCGAAATGCAAAGGAATGGAGGATTGATGGTTTGTAGCGTATACTGTACATTACAGTGCTTATGACATTTCAGCGCCCGGTAATCAGAGGTTAATGCAGTGCAAGGGCTTTTTCCCTCTTCCTCTACAGTTGTCAGCTGTTCTTTTGTATCCTGTTACGTAGTTTATACTACGGTTTATAATAGTTTGAATATTCTTTCTGAGAAAATTATATGTTTCTCCGCTATGGGGCTTCTTTTCTGGTGACGGATTTCAAAGTTTTTTCTTATTGGTGAATAACAGAACTGACTGGCTATGTTGTCATAAACAAAAAGTGAAACAGACGATAGGCCCCGGGTTTAGCGAGATGACTCTAACTGGGTATGTGAGGGACTATGCACAGTGTTCTTGGCAGTGGAGCGTGAGACCCTTTGTGAGGCGGTGTTGACATCTCTTTGAGCTCTCTGGGCAAGATGGGGCTTGCTTTTCTCTTTAACATGCACTGCACTGTTTGCTTGTTGCATTTCGCTGTGCAGGCTTAGCAGACAATGCCAGAATAAGTCCCATTTTAAATGGATCTTAAGTGGATATAAAAAGTCTACACACCCTTATTGGAATTGCAGGTTTTTGAGATGTAATGCCAGAAATCGAGATAAATCATGTCAGACATTTTTCCACCTTTAATATGACCTTGCAACCAAACAAATTCAAGAGAAAAACAAATGGATAATTATTTGTATGTATATCAGAAATACAATAATTTGTTGTTTTTTTTTACAGCTATGTGCCAGTGTGTGGTACATGGTTTACTGCTAAAGAATAATAAACATTAAATAACACAGTTTTTATGATCCCTTATTTAAAAAGACTTACTACTCTTGATGATGACAATATCATCTGTTTATAACAGTAATAGCTTCTGGTTTTCACATATTCCCATCATATTATTGTTGTTCTTTTCTAATTGGAGGTGCCATACTTTGGATGAGATGTTTAACCGATGTCCAGAATACTTAAGTCTTTAAAGTTCCCATGGCACAGTTTGCAGTTGGATTTTCAACTGTAGGAATGTTGAGCCCTCATGTTCTCCCTTACTTCAGCTGGGGAAGTAATTTCCCTACTTCTCTACCTGGTCAGCTGTGTAGTGGGTCTCCTGCTGCATAACAGCTGCTGTGCTCCATTCAGGTGGGTACTGCACTTCAGAGGTGGATATAATGGGCCTCCTTTCAGATATATAGCACTAAATGCAATTATTTATAATGATGAAACAAGTGGTTGGTGGTCTTAAATAAACCATATAGGTCGGTCCCTTTTCAGGCCATCGAGCCCATGGGGGAATGGGGGACAAGGGCCATCATTTTTCTTGACCATCCGACACTGGAGGTGGAGGTGATGTGGTCAGCATCATGCTCTGGCAGGCCTGTTACCCCCAGAAGGATTAACCCCCCGGTACTCATTTGGAAAGCAGGCTGAGTCTGCTGCCCCTCACCTGCCCCTACCTGGGATTGAACCCAGCACCTTCCGGTCAGGAGCTACATGCCCTTGTCGTCTGAGCTACCACGGCTTCAAATAAACTACAGCATATAACCTCTCTTATTTTAAGTGTGGCCTCACTAATGCAGATTGAGATCTCAGTCCTTCCCCTCTGTATTGCATTCCAGAATTGAGTCCGCTACTGCTACTTGCAAATGAGAGACACACTACCCTTTATACTGTGTTTCAACCACCAATGTGCAGCATCCACTCACCACACAGAAAGTGAGCAGAAACGCTCACCACACAGCAGCTATCAGTGGGGAGGAGAGCAGAGTAATGTAGCCAATTCATAGAGGGGGATTATTAGGAGACCATGATTGGTAAGGGCCAATGGGAAATTACCTGTAAAGCGCTTTGAGTGGAATGTCCAGAAAAACGCTATATAAGTGTAAGCAATTATTATTATTATTATTATTATTATTATTATTATTATTATTGTGGTTTGTCAGGATTTGTCACTGGAAACACAATAGTGATGGAATCTGGTGAGCCCCAGTGACTAACATGCGTGCATGTGGCAGTGATGAACAAAATCCAGCAGGAATTTAGCTTGGGTAACCCCTCATGCCTTGTTTCCTCCCACCTTGCTGTCCCAGAGCCCCACCAGCCCAGGATCTCAGGAAGGAAAGGGCTCTTGGGAATGTCCCGGAGGAGTGGGAGCGTGGACTCTGACCTGCAGTTCCTGGGGTCCAGTAATCCTTCGGACAGAGAGAAAGGTGAGGTCACGGAGGAGCATCATTTCATTGCTCCTACCTCTCGCATCTAGGGAGCAGCGTGTCAACAAGGAGAAAAGCATTGCTTTGAACCCCTGATTTTGCCCTCCCACCAGTACACAGAATAAGGAAAAGGAAAAGAAATCATTCTCAATGTGAGACACTGATGTTTACCAGAGAGGTGAGAGGCTGTGAGGTGTTCAGAGTGAGCAGCACATTCAGGATGAGGAGCCCCTGTGTCATAGCAGCTATGCTGATTCAGGGATTCATTTCTTGTGACTGACCATTGGACACTGCTGGTCTTTGGTTTCTCCTCTGGTGATAGAAGTAACTTGACCTTTAGATTGCAAATGTTTGATATGATTTAATGTTTTTAAAAGGATATTTCTGATCTCTTGGCAGACTTGTACTTAAATGTGCAATGCAGACATGTATACCATATATGCATTATTGAATACTTTAGTCTGCAGCTATGTCCCGGTCTTTCAGAGAATACCAGAACTACTGTAACGATAATGCTAAACCATTCAATAATGTTGATCCTTCATGTGTTTGAATATGTGTAATAGCCAGTCAGAGTACTGGTGAATCAGAGAGTGCTGGCTTGTTTTAGCAGCTCCGGTCCACGGCAACATTAGTCGGCCTCCAAGGACTCCGCGCCCTCTCTGTGGACACCCCGGTGTAGAGCGCACCTTCTCCCTGCCCTCCAACCCTGCAGCCCAGGGAGCCCTCATCCTGCCCTCCTACCCACTGGCACCAGCCGCCGGAGGCCAGCTCGCCTCTCCGCCAGCTCGCAGGAACGCGGACGCGGCTGTAAGCATGTCCAGCACCTGGCCCAACAAGAGGGAGAACAGCCCCAGGTGCAGAGCCCCCAGCCCCTGGTCAGAGGACGGTTCAGGCAAGGACACCCTTCTGTCCCTTTCTCTCCGCTCACTAGGTTTGTCCAGCTGTTGCTGCTTAAGTGATACAGAAACCTTGACGATCTGACAGTTTGACCTTTCAGTGCAAACCTGAGGAGACATAAGTGACTATGATTAGATATGATTTATTCTTGTGGAACGAATCCTAATTATGAAAGTGGAAGGAATAGTATTAGCAAGTAGCGGTGTTTGATTAATAATGTATTGAAAACTGAAGGATAGAAATCATACTGGTTGATCATTTTGCTTTTGAATTAAGGACTGCACTTAGCGAACCTTCTGGAGCATAAGTAAGAGACTATTGACTGTATCATTACCTATTTTCTGTCTAAACTGAGTTTAGGGAAGGGGTTTGAACTTCATAGGGTGAAGGGACATGGGCTTGGCATGCAGTGTTTTATCTGTTGAGTAAGGAGACTGTTTCGCTTGGATAATTCCTGAGGTCACGACCACAATTCATCTAGTTTAGCATATTGTTCTCCATCTAGAAGTGTTTAATGAACCCCATCGAAGCATGACCTAATGGAAATACTTCCCCGTGAGGTAGGATAACATTGCATCAACCTTGAACTGCATGCTCATAGCTAGATGATTAGCATAGCAGTGCATTCAGATTTCTGCTAAAGCACTTGTCTAATAGTTTACGCTTTATTTTAACAGTAGCAAAATGTCTGTGGATGATTCCACCTTTCTGCAGCTTTTATATCTTTACTCTGCAGTAATGCTCTGTGTTAATAGGAATGGTCATTATGGGGCTTCTCAGCCCCACTAAAAGTATGTTAGAATTTGGTTATCTCTCTTTATTCCTCTGTACAGTTAAATCACTAAATATCCCTTGAGCCTATACAAATAGATGCCTTTTATACTAAATATCTTAACTTGTTCCTCCACACTTTAACCTTGTATGTACGGTGTATGTAACTACTGTCTTCTATATCCTTCAGGGGAAACCCAAGAAAGACGGTCCCCAGTGCCTCTCAGAGTATCACTGGTGCGCTCCCCATCTTCCCATCGTGTCCTTAGTGGAGCCAAGCCTGTGCCCCCAATCCCTCGAGGCACCAACCCCTTGCCTGACAGGGCCCAGGGGACACCCCAGGAATCAGAAAAGACCAGCCAGAGGGGGAGTCCTTTGGAAAGACCAGCAGAGAGGAGCCTGCAGCTGGACCTTTCTCACCTGAGTCTGAAGGATGGAGAAGAGGAGCCAGTGGACCGTGAGGAGGTCCGAACACTCATACATATAGTCCTTGTGTCCATCTGGGGAATGGAGGCATGGTTAGATCATAAAGCATCCAAATTACTTCTTGTAAGGAGCAGAGGAAAAACATCACTATTTTTAATGAGATGTCAATAAGAGTTTAGTGCAGTGACATGTTGATTTATGGACAAGCGTAGCGTCGGTGTAAGTTCATGTGCTTTTTATTTTCATAATTAATTTTTATTATTGTTTTAAAAGTACTTTCCCCAGTCATCTGTGTTTTGATTTGCAGAAAATGTATTCTGCAAATTCATACCAGTTTTTGCACTGGTATTGTGCAGGTGTGTAAGGGAGGGCGAAGTGACTTTCTAAGCCCTCTGTTTTTGTGTACTCCAGATGTTGAACTCTCTCCGGTCACTGAGGTACAGTGCAGCAAAGAAGCGAGCCAAGCTGAGTCTGAGTGGCTCGGACCCCGACCCCGACAGCCCCGACTCGGCCGTGAAGCTCGAGCTGGCCCTGGATTCGCCATCTCAGACCTCACCCCCTGTCACCAGCCCGCTGAGTGAGAGCGGCCTGTCCAGTCTGCAGGATTCACTCAGCTCACCCCCACACACAACCCCCTGTGGCACTAAAGCCAGGTAAGTCCATGGATCGTGTCCTGGAACACAGCTATGGCATCGATGCATTGCAGAGATATACACACTTAACCTACACACAGCTCTAACACACAGCCTGAACATTGCTGAAAAACAAAGATTCTCACACAAAAAAATAGACTGAAATCATCACTTATTTAACACCATCAGAAAGTTTAAAATGCTGCACTATGGTTCTAAATGGTCCCGATTTACATATACTGAGCTCTTAAGGCACAGCTAAAGACAGAACAGGCTGCAGTGCTCATTGTGTACTGAAGTGTATTTGTCTTTCCTGCAGTTCTGGGAGCTCCTCTCCTTCGGTAGCAAGGCCCCGTGTGCCCAGAGTCTCCTCTGGGAAGCTGAAAGGTGCTGCCAATGTGGAGTACAGCCCCAACCAAGGTACCAACAGCTGGAGATGATCTGTGGGATGTTGCATGCTTTGAAACCAGCCATAGCTTCTGCAAATATGAAGGATTTATTTAGTCATTACAGATTTACCTGGGTGCAGAGTAGGGCTCAAGCTCTTTACCATCTGTGCTGGTTGTGAAGTTAGGGAGGTAAGGAGGGTGCTCAAGCATGTGATCGGGATTTTGCAGGGGTGACATTCCGGGACAAAGTGACCTCAGATGTGAGCGTAGTGGGGCAGAGGCTGGCCTACTCTAACGGGCCTGCTGAGCCCGAGGAGGTCAGGCAGAGAGAGACGTCCCCACCTGTCGTTAGACCCTTGGGTCGAGAGCCCCTCAGAGCACCCAGACCCCCCAGAGGTGAGTTGACAGGATACGTAATCTAGAGTTTCACTACATTATATGATTGTTTCTAAAGAAGATTATTCAAAATAGATCTTTAGTTTGAATACAGGTGTTCTAGCTGAGAGATTTAATGATTTAGAACCATCCAGAAAAATTGCCAGTGAAACCAAAATATTCAAAACAAGTTGCATTTTAAACAACCAAATGCCTTTAATGCTTCTAAATAATACTGCACAAGGGACTGTTTGGTGATATAGCTACCAGAAAGTCTGTCTGATTGAAGTATTATAGGTGGAATATACTTTATATTATTTGGTTTTATTTTAATATACCTGAATGACTGTAAACAATTCAGCACCATTACATTCTATTCTAATCCATTCTTTCTGTTCCAGGGTCACAGGGGTCAACTGGGACCATGCAGCAGATCAGCATCAGTCTGGCTTCTTCTGCTGATGGCATGTCTGAAGGCATTATAGGCAGAGGTCAGTTTTCTTTCCACTTTGAGCATGGTTATTTTTGGAGCTTGTGAATAGAAATTGCTCTGATTGTGGACACGGAAGCCCTCTCTAGAATAGTTCTTTGAGCTTTCTGCTTGTACTCCTCTGCTGGGGAAGGATTCCCTGCTTGTGCTCTTCAGTATTGAGGCCTTTTCAGTCCTAGACTGAATTCTGTACGAATACCACAATTATGGGATAATCTGTGAATATGGTTGGTAGTTTAGACTCACCTCAACTGGCATCTTTAGATAGGTTTTGAACCTGTGTCTCCAAGAGGTTGGAGGCTCCCTAAGGAACTCAGGGGTTATCTTTAGACCTCCCTCCTAAAGGTAAAAAACTAACTTAGAGTAAAGTGAGAGTAGGTATGCACAGATATAATGGGAAGAGTTGGAGAAGTATTTTCTGTCAGAAGTACCCCTATTCTTTATAATTTAAATGTGGATTATCTTGATGAATCTTTTATGTTAAATCAACTCAGAGGTCTGTGAAATTCATCATAGGTTCTGTCCTGTCTTCCTGGTGCGTTGCTGTGTTTAATGTAGCAACTGACTACTTAACATTTTGAGCCCCGTCCTATTGTTCTGGTGGCGGGTGCTCTCGCGATGCCTGGGGCCTCCTGGTTGCCATGTAAACAGAGCAGAGTGTCCTAGCACAGCCGACTGAAGCCTGACAGTGTCTCACACTGAGAACTGCGGATATTGGCAGAAAGTTGTGGAAATTCGTTTTTCATGATTTCTACAAGTCATTAACACTTCACAACCAAATGGGACACACTCTGTACGATTCTTAATAGAGCTTTTAAAATGAAGCGCTGGAAATTTCTAAATGGTAGGTAAGTAAAAGGGCCTTTTTTACAAAACAAAATAGTGAAGGGTGTTTCCTGCAGGAATGATTGTTTCTAATTTGCTTGAATAATCAGTATTTCTGATGACGTAGTTCAGGTGGGTAGCTGTGTCAGAATGCGTAGGCTGCAAAGGAACAAGTTCAGGTTTATTCCATTCTGAAAAGAGAAGAAAGGAAATATGTTTCGGCTGTGGAGCCACACACCTAAAGAAGGCTCCACACCCAAAACGTTGTATTTCCTTTCTTCTTTTCAGCATGGAATAAACCTATTACTTATTTCTTATGACATGTCTTGTTTCTATTGCATGCTTCTTTAGGGTAGTTCTATTTCTTTTACCTCCTGCACTGGGATGGTAATATGTTACTTTTATAAATGTTTGTACGATACTGAAAGAATTGTCTGTAAGCTTTTCATAAAGAAGGAAGGAAAGTCAAAATTGTAAGTTGGGCGATGGTAGGTTAACTGTTTAGCATTTCCAATTTGGATTCTTTGTTGTGAACTGTAGATCAGTGTGCTGTGTGCAGGGCTGAGCTACAGGTGCTGCAGGTGTTTCTGAACAATATGAGTGCCATTGTTCTGGTCTCCACAGGAGTGTTTGGGAGCTCCGCTGCAGTGGCCTCTCAGCAGAGTGTGATGTCATCCTCTGAGTGTAGTAACAGTATTGGCAAGGCAAGTGTTGACCCCCCAGCAGGCGTGTATGGACACTCAGTGCAGCACAACAGTCACAACTCCACAGCCAGGGAGGAGCCAGAGATGGAGGACGTGGTGAGTAGGAAGCCGTCTTACATCAGTTCTTACATCTAGTTTCCCTCCTGTGTTCACAAGCCTTCTGTTGTGATTTAGTGGGGGGGGGGGCACTTATGTGGGATGTAAATCAAGATAAGCTGCCAGTTGTAATCAGTAAGGTGTTTAAAGAAATGAGGTAAAATTAAATTTAAAAATCAGGGACTGGCACCAGAAAATTTCTTAAAGTTAAATAGTAACACACTTGGCTGACACAGCTTAGTTTCAGATGAAAAAGACTTACTTACAAGACACAGACATCACTTTATTTACTGTACACAACACAATAGAGTGATATTTGTCTGTGGGGACAGTGAACAGTGTCTAGACTTTGTGTTTTGTGGTGCAATATAATGGAAAGCATGCGGAAGCTCACGGACATGGGTAATAGGCAGGGAGGAGTTGGATGGCTGGAGCATTAGGCTGTGAAATGGTCAGGGCTGAGATTCAGTTTGGCTGGTTTGCTGGGCTGGCACGCAGGACAAAGTGAAGCTGTCAAAGTCGGCCCGGGACAAAATGAGGCAGCGCCGCCTGGAGCAGGAAGAGCTCCTCCACATCCAGAGCGAGCGGAGGAGGGTGGAGAGCGTTAAGGAACGTCTGCGCATGATCTGGGGTGATGGATCTGCGGAAGAGAGGAATGAGCTATCATCCCCGCCTCAGAACAGCCCCCGTCATGCTTCAGGTCAGAGGCCAAACTGCGATCACTTCTCTCTCTCTCTGTCCCTTGTTTTTAACATCTGCAGGTGTTCTTGAATTTGAAATAAGGCTGATGGACTTTTTCGTCAGATTTTCTACACTGTAAAGTCAGTCATTCTGAAGGGTTTTTGTATGTGGTGCCGCGCATCTTGGATGTTTTTCTAATTGCTGTGAACATGATCACACTGAGTTCATTTCCAATAATTGGACTTGGTTTGCGTTGATTCACACTGGAATATTGTCAGTTGCTTTAGATGCATTTTAAGTTAATTTCTCTTAAATTTATTTCATTTTGAAATTCATGGGGTACATTTTTTATCAGCCACTGAGAAAAACGAGGTAATACCTTTGTATCCGTGTTTTATCAAACTGCATCTGAATTTTATTTTTTTCATTGCTGTAATCCAGGAAAACATCTTCATGGGTCTGTTATCGTATATTTCATTTCCTGTTTGTATTGAATCTCTTGTTTTGTTAATACTCATGTTTGTAAAGCAAACCATAACATTTTCCATTGGTCTCAGTTTTTCAGTTTGATTAGTTTCTCCAACTACTTGGACTGGACCAAGTAAGAAACAGCTCCAGTGTGAACATAGTGTAATGGCAATTTTTCTTTCTCTGGCAGGCTGGAATTTGAATGGCAAGATCGTTCAGAAGCCCATGACTGAGTCTCCACAAGAGAACAGCCCTGCCAGCCCCAGAGGACCCCTTAGTCCCATCGTTGCGCCCAGCCCTATTCGACTCTATGGCCCTCCCACCCCTCCTGCACTTAAGGGGCCTTCCAGCCCTGCTCGTTTGAAGAGATCCTCCAGCCTGAAGAAGGCTCGCTCCTCTCTCTCACACAGCTCAGGTCAGCAGACTAATAAACGGCCCTTTCTGCCTCCTGACCTTCAATTTTAAAGGAGGTTTTCAGATCTATAGAAGGCTGAAGAAAGAAAAAAGTCATATTCATTTGCAGTCCACAAGTGAGCCACAATTTTGTTAATACGCAGTCAACAGTGAGCCCTTGCTTGGATTGTTTAATTGTGTAGTGATGGATTTCCTACTGCTTGGTCCCTCACTAATGTTCCCCTACTCTGCTGTGGTCCTCAGATGAGCTGTCCCCTGGCCCTCGAATGCAGAGGAAGGAGGGCCCAGAGGCCCCAGAGCTGCGGCCTTTCTCTAAGCCTGAGCTGGCGCTCAACCAGGGCCTCCAGCTTCTGGCCTCTGACGACTGGTAGGCAGAAAAAGATACACGTGAATTTGCAGTCCTTACTGTCTCTACTTTTGACGTAGTGTCTCGTGCCTTGCTCTGTCTTGCATTTGGGTTTATATATTTCGTTCCTCTCACTGAATTCAGGGAAAGGAAGATTGAAGGGCTGACCATCATAAGGAGTCTATCCCAGTATCACTCTGACGTCCTGATGAGCAGACTGCATGATGCCTGCCTGGCCGTCATACAGGAGGTGTGCTGCCTAGTTTTTGGTGATGGATTTGTATTATTGCTCCTAATCGATTTAAGCGAACTCTGAAATATGTGGAGGTTTATGGAGGGTGATGGAGAGCGGGGTGACAGCGTGCCTATTTGTCCAGGTGAAGAACTTGCGGTCAGGCGTGTCTCGGGTGGCAGTGATTTGCCTGGGAGACATGTTCACTCACCTGCAGAGAGGGATGGACCAGGAGCTGGACGGCACAGTGAAGGTGCTGCTGCACAAGGCCGGGGAGTCCAACGCTTTTATCCGGCAAGATGTGGACAACACCTTGGACTGCGTGGTGCAGAGCTGCACCCCTACACGTGCCCTCAGCGCACTGCTGACTGGCGGCCTGAGGTGAGGACAGCCTCAGCACACACGGGTGAAACCTCCGGGTCTCACTCTCCAGAGTTATTATTAATCATACTTACTTTAAAATGTGGCTGTACATTAAACGTTTTCAAAATTATATTGGAAAATGTAAGATTCCTCAATCTGCAAAAGTCCAGTAATGAACCAAACTACTCAGAACTATCCAACTCCTCATAAACTTTGAAAAGCCAGTCCCTCACTGCCTGGTTAATGAGAAGTAAGATGTGTTCCCAAGTAACGTAACTGCTCACTGACGTAGCTCTGGTGTGTGCGCAGCCACCTGAACTCTGTAGTGCGGAAGTGCACAGCGCAGCACCTGGTAGACTTGGTGGAGAGGATGGGCCCTGCTCGCCTCCTGTCTGGCACCAAGGACCTCACCGACCGCATGCTTCCTGCAGTCGCCCGGCTGGCACAGGACTCATCCCAGGAGACCAGGTCAGGATCCACATGCTCCACGGACATTTCCTGGACAACCAATGCTCTTCCAACAAGAATCCAGAATAAGATGGGTGTGTCCCACTGTGAGGTGTCTCATACAGGTTTTTTTTTTCAGATACTACGGAAGACAGATGCTGTTTTCATGGATGACCCATCCAGACTTCGACAAAATGATCGAAAAGCACTTGCAGCCCAAAGACCTGATTGCCATCCGGGATACCGTCAGCACCCTCAGGACAAAGGTGCTTTTCCTCCTACGTGTTACTGTGCCTTTGGGGGGTGTGGCAGCAGGGCCTTGTCCGTGAGCTGTAGTCTGATGCTAGTCATTTGATCTTGACAGGGATTGGGAGAAATGCCCCTTGACACCCCCTCTGCAAGGGGCCGGCGCTCCCTCCCAGGTAGCGGGACAGTCCGAGCATCATCATTGACCCGGGAGCCACGCAACATTGCTGCCAGGTAGGCTCTCAGACACTCCTGTCTGCTATCCCTTCTTTCTCAGGATGCACTCGGCAGTGAGCGACAGTTTTCCACACGGGGAAAAAAACCCACAAAGTTAAACAAGTTTTCATTTAACACAAAATGTATTTTTCACCTGCTCACAGTGACTTAGCTCACCTGCTTTAGTCATACTTTCCAGCTAAAATAGATCACATTTCTGACGTTTGTGTATCTATTAAATGCTTTTAGTCATTTTCTCTTAACTGTCCTATCGGAGAACTCCAGATATGGAGGAAACGACAGCTTGCGCTCCTTGTTCCCTGCAGAGAAACAGGGGAGAACACTTGGAAGCCCAGCCCGCGGACCCTGGTGGATAAGACTGAGTACGTCAAGCAGCTCACTGGTCTGCTGGGTGCCAAGGATTTCCGAGACCGCACCAAGGGCATCGATCAGCTCCTCGATGACTGTCAGCAGAGCCCTGACCTAGTGATTGCCAACATGTTCCCGGTAACTTCAGCTTCACTAATTCATGAGAGGCTAGAATAATGCTTGACTTGATTAGAGGGTAAAATTAAGAGGGCATGATAAGATGGTAAGATCGTTTGGAGCTTGATTAGATTTGATTTCTACATAGCTTGGAGCAACTGTACTATGTCCCTCAAATAACTACATCAAAATGTTTTTTTGTTTTGCTTTGCCTTAAAAAGAAAATAAATCATTCTTAAGATAACTTTAACTGAAATATTTAAAACAATCTAGCTGTGCTATAAATAAAGTAGAAGATAGTTAAAGGTAATAAGACTCTGTTAAAGATGGTCTCATCTTTCATTGTCAGATTTTTGATGCCTTTAAATCTCGTCTACAAGACTCCAACAGCAAAGTGAATCTCCATGCTCTGGAGTCCCTGCAGAAGATCATTCTGCTGCTAAAAGACAATCTTGCCCAGGTTGTCTACATCCTTGTGCCGTCCATTGTAGAAAGCAACCTCAACTCCAAGAACAATGCTATCTACAATGCAGCTGTCAAAGCTGTTCAGACTCTCATCCAGAACATTGGTGAGGCCCCACATATCACTTCAGTTAGGGGCAATCGCTGGTCTCAGACTGCCCAGGAGCTCCTCAGTCTGAGCTTTACCGGTACTACAGCATCGTCTTAGATGCCAACCTTTAGAAGCTCTAGACATGACTATTTTAGCTTTTCCTCAGGCTTCAATGTGTTTTAATAAGACTTTTGTCATTCGTTGCATGCAAGCCAAAGTGCATAATTAGTGGCATTCTAATGCAATTCAGTCCCTAATGGAATATAAACTGCATATTTGAGTGTACTGTGGAGTGACTCGGTGCGCCCCTTTCTTTCATTACAGCAGGACAGCTGTCTCACTGCTGTGTTGCCATTAGTTTAGTTTGGACTGCAGGTTTGAGGTGTAAAAACTGAACTGAGCTCTTTCTACTGTTCCAGATAACACACTACTGCTCCAGCCATTCTGTACCAAGGCCCAGTTCCTCAGTGGGAAGGCCAAAGTGGACATGATTGAGAATGTTGCAGGTAGGCCCCAGCTCCAACTATACTGAAAGCTCTTGAAATAGTGAAAAAGATTACCTGGAAGACTGTTCATTTGTGAATGATGTTTTCTGTACCCTTCTGTGATTCATTGGAGACTGCATCTGCTAGCATTGTCTTCCTTTTTTGACCCATTAAACTGAAATAAGTGTTTACTCCCCAAATGTCAAACTAGAAATGTATAATACATTGGTTCTGTGCTATATTGAGTATTAACATACAGTCTTCGTGCGGGGGCCAGTGTGTGCAGTCTCCATTTTTTATTTAGCTCTTAATGATTAGATTAACGCGTTATTGGCTTAATTGGCTTGATTAAACATTTTCTCTCAGGTTTGTATTTGGTGTTGCTTGAATTTAAAGAGACTTAGAAAACATGCACACAGCTGCCCCCCAGCACACGGACGGGAGATTCCCAAAATAGAAGGGCAAAGAAACAGACTCGCTCCATCTAGGGGATAAACAGTGCACTGATGTCCATTTGTAATAACTAACAGCTGCCTCCATCAGAAAAGTATGGTATCCCAGAATTCCATCTGGCACTTATACTATAAAATCATTTAAAATTTGGGTTTTCCGTTTTTAAGATTGTTTTGCTTTCAATTTTATTTTTTAATTTAGAAATTTACTGTCACAAATACCAACTTACATAATTATGGACAAATCCTAGGATGTTCTAAAATGAACATTTAAGGTGGTATTTGGTTTGTTTTTCAGATCTGGTGACAGAGCTGTATCCCCGAAAGCCCCAGCTGGTGGAACAGAAAGTCTTGCCCTTGTTGTGGCACCTGCTGGGCACCTCCGGTGGCAATGGTGCCCTGCTGGGTCGTGGGGGGAGTGTGCGCAGTGCCACTGCCAAGCTGTGCCGAGCCCTCCTCACTCACATGGGTCCCGGCCTGGAAGAGCACGGTGCCACACAGCCCCCACATATCTCAAAGGGCCTCCAAGAGCTGCTCGGCACCATCTCTACCTAACGGCGGTCACAAAAACGCAAAGCTCAAGACGGTAATGACAAGAAATGGTCAGATTTTACTTGAAGATAGAGAAGACGTTTCTCACAGTGCCTGCAGTTTCCTGTTTTACGACAAAGAGACTTTGGAATACCCCGTCTTGGGGGGGAAAGAAGAAACATTTTTTACATCTAAATAAGTAGGAAAATAAAAGAATAAAGGAAAACATGGCTTCAGTTGGTGGTATCAGGTTTTTATTTTTTTAATGATATGCTCTTTTGCACTTTGAAAAGTGGTACACTATTATGAACGTTGTCATTGTGTGTCCTTCAAACACGAACTGATTTGATGCTGCAGAACGTACCATTTTAATGCACAATACATAAGGACTTATGGATGTATTTTTGTTTTAATTTATATTATATATATATATGTCATTGTTTTGTGATATTTTCATGAAGTGTCTTATTGTAACTGGGGTTTTGTGTGATAAAAGTCAGGAATTGTGCTGAAAACAATGTTTTTCTTGCTCTCCAATTTAATTGCACAGTATTAGCTTAATCTTGCTGCTGTTATGTGGAATTATGTCTTTAATCTTGGCTTGGCTTTTGAACATAAAACATCCAGCTATGAAGAGGTATTCAGAGTTGCTGTAATAATGTGTTACAGTTTTGGGATTACCAAAATTAAATATGAAACAGGAAAAAAGTGAATATTTTTGTTACATATATTTTAAATGTACACAGATGCCTAAATCAAGGAGCTAACGGTGTTGGATTTAAAGTAATTATACTTTTGTGTGTTTAAAAATTTAAACGATCAATCTTTAAATTATGAATTTATACAGAGCCCGGTTATGTAATTCTCAGTAAGAATAGTGCCAGTTCTAATATAGCTTTTCAAAGAGTTTCCACACATAAACCGTACTGTACTTGTTTTAGACAGAGAAAAATGTTATATAAATATAAATAAATGGATCTATTTCTGTAAATTGTTTTTGCTTCTATTTTTTATGACTCACAGGAATCGGGTTCCAGTAGTGAGAGTAATACAGTGTGGCTCACGCCAAATTTCCATGTCTTGTATTTCCATGTATATACAACACTTAAGCAAGTGCCTGCTATATGAAATAAAATACAATCATGTTTACATCTGTGCTCTTCTCATATACTATATGGGAGAATATTATAATTGATCTGAAATAACTTACACAAAATAAACATATTTGTACAAAGAAATATCTCATTTTCACATGCAACTAAAATAGTTCAAAAAGTAAATTGATTGATTTAGGCTAATTTTATTTCATTTTCAGGAAATAAGAAATATAGTTCCAGGGAGAAGAAAGATTTCACTGTATATCAAGCAGTGCTCGATGTGCCGTATTATTAGAGTACATGTGGGTTTTTTCACCGATGGTGACTTTGAAGGACTGTTCAGTGACTTTAAAGAGCAGTAGTTTTCACCTGTTCAGGTTATTAAACGTATTGCTTGAGTGGTCAGAGCGTAATCCATTCACATTTTTATCCTTATCTTCTTACATCGTGCCGTCTTGACAACCAAAACAAATTTCCCATTTCAAATGGCAAAAAACTGATCCTAGAAGTCCATGACGCGGGAGTCTACTGTGAGAGTGAAATCTCAGCCTATAAATCAGGAAGGCGTCACGGCTATGATTTGTCTGGGTTTCTGGGTATTTTAAACAGCCGTTTGAAGATGAAGCCGGAACCAAATTTCCATTTCTACCCACTTTTGCGTACACATTCACATCCGCACAAGTTACTTGAGTGAGTTCAGGCTTTTTTCTGTGTTCACTCCTATAATGACAAAGGTAAAAAAAATATGTATTTTTACCATCGGACAAACAACATAGTTTATCATAAAAAGCGTTTCACGGTGGGCGTAGAAGGTGTGACATTTGACCACATTTTAGTAAGTTGTATAAAGATCACTATCTTTTTCTTCTTATACGTCTAAGGAAATGTATAGATTCACTGAAAATTACATTTGAAAATCAAAACCACAAACACACTGCGGGACACCCACGTAGATTCAGTTGAAACGATCAGACGTCAGTCTCTAGCTCAAGCCCTAAACGGTCTCCACAGCCTTGCCCGGCGTGGGTCTCCATCGCTGGGAATGCGAAAATAAGCCCCGGGAAACTGCGGGTTTGGATCACGTGTTGCCGCGTCCCAGCAGGCCGTCCCCCTTCCGGGTTATTGGCTGAGGCGCGTGCGCACCACGCCGCCGCCGCTCCGGAGAAATTAGTTGTGGAGAATGAGCGGAGAGAAGCCCGCCTTGAGGCTGCACCGATAAGGAAAAAAAAAAAGAACCCCGTAATTCTCATTTGGAAACACAATTTGATGGAAGATTCTGGTGAGTAACGGTTTCGTGAGGGGATGAAGCGGCGAGGGGGAAAGTGTTTTATTTGAACGATTATGAAACGGGCTCATGACGAGGAGAGAGGGGGGCTGGTCTGGCTAGCGTAGTTTAGGCCCAAGAGCGAGCGGGGATTTCTCGGTAAAAAAAAAATATAAATACCTGTCGCAAAGCCCTCGCTTCATGTTAATATAATGTTGTTGGTAGAACTGTTGCTTGAGGAATTGTGTGCTTCGATGTTAGCTATTGGCTTCGGTGCGTTTTTCGGGTTTTTGCGTGCTCGGCTGCGTGTGCTTTCTGACTGAATCTGGTTTTGTTGACGGTTGTTGATAAGACACGGCGCCGCTTTCCGTTGCTGAGGAGAGATCGCCTGGTGTGAAAACAGGGGGCAGGAGGGCAGGTAGTTTTGTCTTTCTAGTCGTGCGGGTCGAGAGTTTCAGTGTTTGACTCGCTCGATTCCACCCTGATCCGCAGCCGTGTCGTTTGCACATTTCAAGCAGCCACGAGTTTGACAAACACAAAAGGCTTTATTTTCTAAATGCACGGTCACGGTACACGGAGGGTAGTGCTGAGGCTTTTGTTTTGAAGATTAAATACCGATTTCTGAGGATGTAAACAAGTGTGAATTTTGAAACTCAGAAATCAAATGAAGCATTTGAAGTGCATAACCTCGGATAGCGGAGCTTGACATTGTATCGATTGCTCCAACTAAGACCAGCTCTATGGTTCTCTCTAGGAGCAACAACGAAGTTAAATAATATATACACTACTGTATATAAAAGCGGATATGCCGTTCTATAGTTACTTCAGCCGTACTTGTACTGTGAGTGACTCAGCGTATGTCTGCTCTGTAGAAGCGTTTCACTCGTGGCGGAGCTGTAGGATGGCAGGTGAGAGCTGTAAATCGGACTATAAGAGACATAAAAATCGTTTAGTTAAACGTTCATGGTTCTGTTACGGACGTTGCAAAGTGCTTAGATTGCAGTTTTCAACGTGAGTATCGAGGTAGCGCACAGTCCTCCAAGCGGGCGACACCTGCTCACACCAGCAGCAGCGCGATGGAAGGGTTTTGCACGCCGGATTATTCTCGCCCCTCAGGAGAGGCATGGATGAGCAGATTTCCTTCTCGCACAGTTTCAAGCCCAGCCTCGCTGTTCCTAATTTGGAAGTGACCGATTCTATAAATAAGTCTTTCGCCACACTCCCAGCTTTTCCCTGGGGTCTTTGTAGGTCTGTGCTGGGGGTGGAAGAACTTCCCAGCGCTGTCCGCGGAAGTTCAGGAGGCAAAGTGTTAAAAGTAAGCTTAACCTGAAAGGCAGCCCCTTGATTTATCATTCTCATTACCACGGTTAAGGTTATCATTAATAACAACCCCTTTCTTTTGTATATGGCATTTTGTACGTGCTGTACTTTTTAAGTGTAAATTAGTCCTCTGTCCTTCAGGTGTAGTGTAGACTGAAGTTTTCCAGGACCTCCAGACCTCTTTGTTGCAGGGTTTAGGCAGCTGTTACCCAATAACTTGTACGTTACCTTGCACTCGGGCATATTTGTGCTGGGGCACAGGGCTTGATTTTAGTTTTGCGGTAGTAAAGCAAGTTTGTGAATGAAAGGTTTTACTTAAATCTTTGTGCAGCGAAAAGATGTGAATATTGTAGACCTCCCAAAGAATGTTGTCGCCTGCAAGATATTCCATTTCGGATGAAAGGAGGCTTCTTAAGAAGTAATTGGTAGTGGGCAGTCAGTGTTAATAATACTGATTGATAATAATTCCTTACACTTATATAGCGCTTTTCTGGATACTCCATTCAAAGCACTTTTACCAGCAGTGGGGACTCCCCTCCCCTACCACCAGTGTGCTGCCCCGCATGGGCGATGCGCCGGCAGCCAGTGTGTGCTAGTACGCTCCCCACACACCCGCTGTCAGCTGGAGGAGAGCAGAGTGATGAAGCCAGTTCATTCGGTTGTGTTCCTCTCCCCAGCAGACCAAGCAGAGGAGCCAATGACGGGCATGCTGGACTCTGCGGGGGAGGGCAGCTCACCGAGCGTGGAGCAGGCAGCAGTGGAGGGCTGCAAGCCTGCGGCTTCTGTCTCCGACCCTGTTCCGGAAGCCGCGACACAAGAAACCGCCGTTCAAGACGGAGAGCAGCAGGAGCAGGAGCAGCAAGTCCTGCCGTCGGAAGAATCGCCGGGCAGTCCGACCAACATGGAGCTGGAGGACCCCTCGAAAGAGACCCCGGACGATGGGACGGTGGCCGACGACTTGGCCGCCATTGAGGTGCCTTTCCCAGCAGAGTACGAGAAGTTCTGGAAGGTGGTGGAGGATAACCCTGAGGACTTCACTGGGTGGACGTATCTTCTGCAGCATGCAGAGCAAGAGGTAAGCGCTTTCCAGGGAACCCACAGCAGGCCTCTGTGCTCCTGAACGCTGCAGCCGGCGCATGCATGCGTGCGCGTTGTGCTGCAGCTGTGCTGTTCGCCTCTGTAACTCTCGTTTTCGTTGTGGCTGCAGAATCACATTGTGGCGGCGCGGAAGGCCTTCGACGCCTTCTTCTCGCGGTATCCATATTGCTACGGCTACTGGAAGAAGTACGCTGACGTGGAGAGGCGGCAGGGGAACATAAAGCACACCGAGGAGGTTAGCTGGGGACACGGGAAGGGGGTCCGTTTCCCAACACACCTGCTGGGGGACAAGATGAAACAGCCAATGAAGACCTGCTTCTGAGCTTGTACCTTTAAACCTGAAGAGGCAGAATTGATCATACCTGTTGGTCTGATTTGAATATTTGACTTCCTTGTCCAGATCACTGCAGTATGTTCATTCTTCAGTGTTTTTCATGAAGGGACATATAAATGTATTTTTTCATCAAAGCTTAATATTATCCTTCTTGATCTCCTGATTATAAGGAGAAAACTGAAGGGTATTGCTCATATGAGGCAACTTACGTTTTAAGCATTTTAAGGAGAAGTCTCATACACGGAACATTTTGAAACCCAAGGCTTAAATTCAGCCTGGCAGTCAAAATCTAAAATCAAAATGCAGTACACAATCAGTTTTTCCCAGAGAAAATATTAAAAACCATTAACATTTAATGTGTTCTTCTGGTGTTGGGCTATGAATATAAACTCTTTGGAAGAATATGGTAGTCGATTCTTAAGATTTTCAAAATTGTGATGAAAATAAAATGGAGCATCACATAAAAATTTCTGTTATGATTAACTTTGGACTTACAGACTTCTTATGTAATGTTGTCTGGCACTGTTGTTTTTAATATGCAGCATTATTTAATTTTGTTTAGGAATACAAGTTCAACAGTTCAGACTGCTCTCCTATTATATAAAAGGATTTTTTTTTACCATGATAGTTGGAAGGATCACCTGACCTGAAAATTCAGACTCATGAGATTCTCTCTTAGACGTTAAATTGCATGGGTCTGCAAGGAAGACTTTTGGAATTAGTTTCTGCGTCTTCAGTGGTCACTGGTCTTTGTTTTGTTCATCCTGTTTTCCAGTAGCTGTCTTCTGAAGGGCACAACATCTAAAATCTTTTTTTGAACTTGGGTTTTGTTAGATTCAACTTGTGAACATATATTGGTGGGGGGTATATCTAACTTTTGTTTCCTTTGTTGACAGGTGATCTAACTTAGAGAGCTTGCCGAGCTTAGCAGTGATAGCCACTGTCGTTTTAAACAAGTATGGGCAGGGCGGTTTCCTTTATCGTACACTTTATGAAATTTAATTTTTTTTTTTAAATGTGGATATTCCAGTTTGTCTATATATTTGCAACGTTTTATTGCATTTTTGGTCAGACGCTGTCAGTGATGCTCTAATGGGTCTGTGCCGTATGGTCTGTACCCCCAAAGCCTTATCCTCAGCCTGGTCAGAAAGCAGGAACGACCAATCTCGGAAGAAACCAAGACCCCTGCTCCCCTTGGAGAACTGAACACTCACATGTACTTTTGCAGCTTCCACCTAAATGGTAATGGCAGATTATTTAAACAAAATTCCAAGTTCATTTAGCATTTTTGTAAAGGTTGAGCGGTAAATACATTTCCAGTGCTGGCTCTCCACTGGAGGCATAGTGATGGACCAGCAAATCAGCGTGCTGTGGCATCCTTCTCTCTAGGTGTACCGACAAGGCCTGCAGGCCATCCCTCTCAGCGTGGACCTCTGGCTGCACTACATTAGCTTCCTGAAGGAAACGCTGGACTCCGGTGACGCAGACACAGAGACCAGAATCCGAGCGTAAGTGACCCGTTTCTCCTCCTCTCCAGGTTTAAGTTAAATGCCTGTCCCTTTCTGTTCGTCTCTCGGGACAGGAGGACAAGCCGATCTTTTGTTTTAAACACGATGGGTGAACATTTTAAAATGAAGACTGGGTATATTGGCCCGAATAATAGCATGATGTGAAAACTTTTTTTTTTTAGGTGTCTATGGTCAGGTCCAAAAGAAGTGTTCAGGATTGTTACGGTACACTGAGACAGACTACAGAGCAGATGGTGCTTGATGTCTTTTTTTGTGGTCTACAGTGCATATGAACATGCAGTGCTGGCGGCAGGCACAGATTTCCGCTCTGACCGGCTCTGGGAGGCCTATGTTAATTGGGAAACGGAGCTGGGGAACTTGGCAAATGTTACGGCCATCTACGATCGCATTCTGGGTATTCCCACCCAGTTGTACAGCCATCATTTTCAGAGGTAAGTGGGACGATATGGCTCTCATGGTTCAAAACCCAGGGAGATTAGGATGTTCCTTGGAAGCTTAATAGATCCTTATGTACACCTTATGTCTCAACTTAAGTTCAAATGTAAAATTCTTGTTGGTAAGGCTGTAGAGCAATTGAGTCTTCTCTTAAGAGACTCAACCTTTATTTGTTTCCCTTTGTTTTTAATATATTTATCCATGAATGAAATGCTTAATGTTGATTTTAGAGTGGTTGGCTGTTGTAAATTCTAAAACATACTTTAAATATGAAAGGTTACTTTACTTATAAGTCATTAGAAGTATAGGAGTATTAATTTTCAGGTGGGTAAGGACAGTTATTCCGATTTAATTTTGCTGGCCTGGTGTAGCATAACTTTTTTCCATAGTTGGTGATTGCTGCTGTGTGGATGTAGTCTTCTAAACAGTCTGCTCCTACAGATTCAAAGAGCATGTGCTGGGCAACCTGCCCAAGCACTTCCTGTCTGAGGAGGAGTTCATCCGTCTGCGGCGTGAGCTGGCCACAGTGAATGGGATTGGTGGGGCGGAGGTACCACCAAGTGATGATCTTCCACCTGGCACAGAGGACCTTACTGATGCTGCTAAGGTATCTGAGAATTGAATCACCCACTGTCATGGTCTAAGTGGTTCTCAACCAGGGATTTGGGGACTTTTGCCCAAGCAGATCTTTTAATGGAGCAAAGTCAAAACATAGCAAGACTTAACATTTTGTCATTTTTGAAAGCCCTTTCTGCATTGATATATTTTCTTTTGCTTCTAAGATTAAATCAAGGGCCCTATTGGGAATGATTGCTTTTAATGCAGTGTTTTTTTAGTGAGCGCTGATCGTCAGAGTCAACAGTTAAGTGTGCACCAGCGGACACAAGTCAAAACTAAGAAGAGGTGCATTTACAACTGGTGCATTTACAAAAGCAGGAGGTGCTTTTTTACACTAAGGGTTGTGGGAATCTGTGGTCAGCCACGCCATCCTGTTGAAGCCTGGTTGAAGTGCCCTGGATTCTGTAAAGAAATAGCTGTGTGTGAAATCCTTGGATCCATTAGCTACTAGTAACAAATTGAGCTAGACGGGACGAATGGCCTCCTATGATTTCTAACTTTTCCTATGTTCCTAATGAATAAATGTCTAAACCATATGCAGGTTAAGATTTGACTTGGAAAAAATATGCTCTTCCTCTCAGCGTATCACAGAAATTGAAAACATGCGGCACCGAGTCATTGAGACGCGTCAGGAGGTGTTTAATCACAATGAACATGAGGTCAGCAAGCGGTGGACCTTTGAGGAAGGGGTGAGTTCACAGTGTCCCTTACACCCTTTCGAGGGCTTTTTGTTTTTGACAGATGAAGAATATTCAGGTCAGTATCAGGTTGGCCAGCACAGGAGCTGTATAGAGGATTTAGTGGCAGAATAAAATATGCCTGCTGCAGTTACAATTGTACAAACCTGTTTTTCTTTAAATTCGTTAATGGCAGTTTTTCAGGGGCTAAACAAGTGTGTTATATGTTTTTGGGCAAAAATACAGTTTTTTCCTGTGCACTAAGAAAAGTTTATCCTGATTGGTATACTTTTATGTTAAAAACCGATAGGAGTGGTTGTTAGTCTGAGTGTTGTCTGCCGTTGAAAGAGTTAAACATTTGCTTCTTCCTTGCTATGGTGCAGATTAAGCGGCCATACTTTCATGTGAAACCTCTGGAGAAAGCTCAGCTGAACAACTGGAAGGAGTACCTGGACTTTGAGATCGAAAATGGAACCCCGGAGCGGGTTGTTGTGCTCTTTGAGAGATGCCTGATAGCCTGTGCCCTGTATGAGGAATTCTGGATTAAGGTAACTACGCACCCCTCTCAAGTCTCTTAAAGAATTTCAACTCCTCAGTAACTTTCTGCACTTTTTAATTGTAACGTTCATATGTAACTGTATCTGTTGTATTAGGGGATGGCCTGCTTGCCACCAGATTTGACTGCTGCATTTGCCAACTACGTTGCATCTCTTCGTCCTACATTACAGAAACTAATCTTAATGGTTCGATAAAGGTGCTGATGGGTTTAAAAGAATTTTAATGTTCTGTCAATGTATTTACTCGCCAAAGATGAATACAGAAGCTTAATTTTTGTGTTCTTTTCTTTCTGAATTTCTCTTCAAGTATGCCAAGTATCTGGAAAACCACAGCATTGAAGGTGTGAGGCACGTCTACATGAAAGCATGCACAATGCATCTTCCCAAGAAGCCCATGGTTCACTTTCTCTGGGCTGCTTTTGAGGAGCAGCAGGGTATGTTGACTAGATTTCTTTATATAGTTTTCTCATACTGCAGTAATACTACAGTAGCCTTTTTTGATGACACCAACCCACCAGGTGATAGTGCCTCTGTCGTACACTAGGTTGTTGTGTTCAGCATGAGTGAGGAGAATCGGGTAAAGGTAAAGGTGTCCTCTCTTGTTTCTGCCTGGGCTTAATGAGTGCTGACGGTGAAATGAGTCTTTAAGAGTTTAATAAGAAATCCTATAGGAATGCGTCCTCATTGCCTTTAGCAGTAAGATTGGGCTTTTTTTAAGTGGGGCAGAAGAGTGCTGTAATGAGACCTGTTTGTGGGCGTCAGGGAACATTGAAGAGGCACGGGGGATCCTGAAGGCGCTGGAGGAGGCGGCACCAGGGCTGGCCATGGTGCGGCTGCGCAGGGTCAGCCTGGAGCGCCGCCACGGCAACCTGGAGGAGGCGGAGACTCTGCTGCGCGATGCCATCAAGAACGGGAAGACCGCCAACGAGTCCTCTTTTTATGCCATCAAACTGGCGCGCCAGCTTTTCAAGGTTCAGAAGAGCCTTCAGAAGGCTAGGAAAGTGCTGATGGAAGCCATCGAAAATGACCAGGTAATGTCGCAGTCCTGTGTGTCTATTCTCCATTGCTTCATGTATAATTTACCATGCCTGCTCATTTTTGTAGAGTGAAATGACATTGCATCCGTTTTCTTTCCTCGTTCTTTGATTTATTTTTTATATTTTCAAAAATGTTGATCCACAGAGTCCAAAGTTGTACCTCAACTTGTTGGAGCTGGAATACAGCAGTGACCTCAAACAGAATGAAGAGCAGATCCTGTCGGTCTTTGACAGAGCCTTGAGCAGTTCGCTGTCTATAGACACGAGAATCACCTTCTCCCAGCGCAAAGTAGAGTTTCTAGAAGACTTTGGCAGTGACGTCAACCGGTATGTAGGATTTCCTTATTCTTCAGATGTAAAAATAGGCTGCCTTGCATCCATTTATTGAATCTGATAAAACAGTGCATCATAATGATTTTCTTTCCTAAGGCTCATGTTGGCATACGATGAACATCAAAAACTTCTGACAGAACAGGATTCGTTGAAGAGAAAAGCTGAAAATGGGTAAGTAAAATATCTGAGAATGGAGATTTCATAGCAAGTATTTTAATTCATTATCAGGTTGTCACATCCACAAATTACTCATGATGGCGCAATGAGCAAATGCAGGAAACATAATATTATGCCATGGTGAATTTGTGATGGTGATTCAATGTGTATGTTGAATTTGTCTGGATTGTATCCACACCTTAGTTAGCTTTAAGGGCTGCATTTTTAATCTTCCTTTGAAGGGATTTGCATTGGTTGCACAAAGAGACCAAATATGTGTTAATGCTCATCTGCAGATCACAAGAACCAGAGTCAAAGAGGCAACGTACTGACGATTCTACTGTGGTCACTGGGCAGATGATGGCAGCAGACATGCACACCAACCACTCTGCTTACAACTACAACTGGTACCAGGTGAGTGATCTGTGCTAACTGGGGAAGCTGGAAGCTAATTCTGGGTGGGGAAATGGTCTTCCTTTCTAAGAATATGATTTTTTTTAAATTGTCAACTAAATTGATGCTTCAGCTTTCATGCTAGTATACCACTTCCTCGCCACTGCCATAAAGTAATACGGGGGAACAAGGTGTTCTTTTAATGTTAGAAAACAAGTTAACTGAACCTTGTCTTCCTTTTGAATATTCAAGCCTTTGTACTTAATTCTCCTTTGCTTTTTCATTTTCTACAGTACAACTATCAGACGCCGTGGAACTATGGACAGTACTACCCTCCTCCTCCAACGTGATTGAACCTTCTGGAGGACAGCTTTATTTTTAATAAAACCTCATACTCTAGTCTGCAATAGGCACCTTGTTCTTTCCCTTTTTTAACATATGGGAAATTGTCCTGCCACCATTGACAAAGGAGCATCGAGGACATCAGCAGAGTTTTTTTCTGGTGTTTTTTTTTCTTGCTTCTTATATGGGGAAAAATGTGAATTGCTTACAGAAAAGTGCTTTAAAAGTTAAAATGTGGTTGTTTCCTTCATACATTCTGGGTTTTCAAAAGAAAAATTATCTAAACTAGGTCGCGGACCTGTAAAGTTTTATAAATGCCGCTTTTTGTTTCTATTTGTTATTTCTAAGATTTCATTAATGTGAAATGCCATAATTAGTTTTGCAAATACCCAGTAATCTGAAAGTTTTCTGTGAGGTGTGAGGTTTTTTTCTTGAACAAATACTGAAATTGAGGGATCTAATTTTTTTTATTGTGACTTCATACTTTAATTTCATAAAATAAAATGGCTATAATACACAAAGTATTTTGTTTTACTTGGAGTATGAGTGATTTGAATTGTGGTTGCTGGTGTGTTGCCGTAATCAATCTCGCCACTGAATTTTGGTATAGTAGGTTGGTACTCCGCCTGACTTCGACATTTCTAGGCAGAGACCTTTGAGGTTTGACTCGCTCACCCTGCCTATATTTTATACAGGGCCCCACAGAATACTTCACATGAACATGCATAACTTGTATAAAAATGTTAAAGCAGTAAGTTAATTTTAATCAGACAGAGCAGGTACGAGAGGTATTGTGCACCTGTTCTTGATGTCCATCAGACTTCAATAACTTCTACGATTTGCAAGGATCTTGTGTAAGAAGTAGATTTGTAATATTAATAAACCTATTTTATGCGTTATGAAACATTGATTTTGGACATTTAATATCCGTGATGCTTAGGTAACTCGAATTAGCACTAAATCACTCCATTAGTGAGAGTAGAGTGAGCCCAGTTGATGAACCTGTTCAAAGTAAAGCTTGGAAATATCAGAAAAACAGGAACCAATATACTCCACTTATCGAGAGAATAAATCCTTGCGCATCTGGTGTTTTGGAGCAACACCTCTGGTGGATGTGTCAGCAGTAATGGGAAGTCTTTAGCCGGGTTTCCCAGTCCTGCTATTGCACACCCATCAACTTGCATGCTCATTACATAATTGTTTTTATTTGGAAGTGGGAGATTTTAAGGGTTTTGCAAAAATGCAGTTATTTAAAATGAAATTTTGGAAATCTTTTAGAACCAAAACAATTCACTTATGTAACAGTAATTGTGAATTAGGGGATCAGCAATGTAACAGCTCATCTGGAATAAATATCAACAGGTATGTGGGTTCATAGGATTGGCAACTCCCTGGTTAACATTAATTAATCAAGGTTTTGTTTTGGCCACTCTGGTGCAGACCAACAGAATGATAATGTGTGCCGACTGTAGTGTACAACCAACAAATCAATGAGGAAGTTAGATACTATGGTCTAGGTCAATGTTGCTACAGAACTCCACTTCTGGATGGCAATGGCAGCCTGACTGCATGGTGCTACAGTATATTGATCCAGTCCTGGGACCTCACTGCTGCTGTTCTTGTGGGCTTATTCTGATGGGACAACATTCCAACAGGACAAAGCATGTCCACATGTTGCTTGTGTGGTAATAGATGAGGATGCAGCAGTTATACCATGGATACTCTGCTCACCAGGCGTCAGCCCCACTGGATGCTTGTGGGATGAGCTAGGATGTCCTGTGACATCTGGTCTGGTCTCAGAGAGAGAATTGAATGGAGAGAGCAAGCAGGCTCATGTCTGTCCAGGTCCCATGAGAGCAACAGGACAAAATCCCACAACACCACATTTATTAAGTTGTACAAAGTATTAACCAGTAACTGTGTTTTCCAGGAGGGATCACACATGGCTCCAGGCTCTGGCTTTAATAGTAGATCTCCTTCTAATTGCCTTGTTGATGACACGTATTGACCACCATCGTAAATTTACCCAGATGTTCTTTTCATTATATTCATGTTAAATTTGTAAATGTGTTGCAGTTATAGGTGTTACGATGCCTTTAATGTGAGAATATTGATACTAATTTTGAATTATATAAAGTAAATTAATATGAAGAATTGGAGCGTTGTTCTCAACCCATAATGCAACCTGGTTTTGTTGCGTAACTTGCCGATCTTTGACCTCC